ATGGATCCTGTGAATAGCTAAGAGCGCTCTTCTTTGGTTTTCTTGGCACCTTACTTCAATCACCTCGATTACTATCAAATACGTATTCTTTTTTAATCACCTTACTTAGTTTATAATTTTTTTATTGTCTTATTATTTTTTCGTTTATATATTTTAAACAAACCGCACAATATGCGAGATAAACACTAAACACGACGTGAAATTAGATTGGTAAAATTAGATATGATAACCCACATGACAGAAGATTCGATAGCCACCTCCACAAGTCGCAACCATATCACTCCATCATTTAATGGTAATAATTTTTAAATGTAACATTATAAATTTATAGGAAAAATTAAATTAATTGGTAGAGTTCTCAAAAACTAAATAAACTACGAGACACTAATAAATGATACTATATAATAAAATAAGTACACTAACGGCGGAAAGCAAAGGCCGTATAAACTAAAAATTAGTCACGAATGATTTTCAAAGGTCTCTCTTATGATTAGAATGCAATGGAGTCTACTTAATTAATTAACGGCAGATATTTTTTTTGAATTTTTATTTTTTTTTAAATTTTTTACTCAAACTAATTTTTGATTTAGTTGATTGTATTATTTTTAACACAATATTTTTAGAGTAGGTGAAATCATGGTCAAAAATTCTGAAGAATGGAAAAACAAGTTGAAATCTTTTTCAGAAAGAAGTTGAATCCAAATTGACGGAAAAACCAGCCAAGTTGGTATTATTTTTATTTTTCATTTTTCACTCGATAAGTTGATGTCATTTTTCACATTAAAAAGTTGTACAAAGTGACACCATCCTTCTCACCCTTTAATGATAATATAAATTAATAATAATATCTTTTTCATCTCTTAACATGTATTACACTACAAGAAAAAATAGGTATTATGACACTTTAAATTGCCTCATCAGCTAGTCTATCATGACACTTCTCCTATTGTGGCATTGCTTGTTAGTGTGGTATATACCAATGTCACCATAACTTAATTAGTTATTAAGACATTTACAGTGTCTTAATAAATATTTGTTGGGACACTTAGAAATGCCATAATAGATATGTATTTCTATATATAAAAAAATAATGTTTATTAATTTACTAGCAGTAAAACAAATGAAATATTATTCCATTAAATTCGTATTGCTATATCCAATTAAAACTGAATAAAATCTTACATAAATTTGTACAGTCAAAAGTCCTATAACTGAAAAAACCGATTGCAAAACATCTAACTTGAAGCTCTAAGTAGCTCTAAACTACAGTAAATCTGATTACAGAAGCTCGAATCACATAAATTATAGCTAGCTACTCTTATATTTAAGGAATTCCAACATTGAAGGACCGGGGCAGCAACAATCTCTCATGCGTCTCTTTTTGATAATCCTAAATTACTCAAAAGCCTTCCAAATCCAAGAAACCGCCAATGGATTTGCGTTTCTTTATGCTCTTCCATACTTCACAAATCTGATAAAGAAGAGAAAATAAGGATACTTATTAAAAGCAACTCACAATTCTCCTTCCAACGCAATCTACAAAAAAATGCACCCAACATTCCACCAAATCTCAAATTTGAAGAATACCTTGAATACTTCCAAAAATTAGGAGTTATGACAGGCATTAGATTAAATAAACAAAATTTAAAAAAATTAAAATTGGGAAATTTAGGAGAGAACCTTAGGTACTGAATGTGAGTTTTGACAAATTTAGCATCAATGTCAATAGCAACCTCAAAATCAACTAGAACAAAGATTCAATAATAAAGTTATTCAGAGAAAATATTAATAAGACACTGAATTTTTTTTTTCAACCAAGAACAATCGATTAGAACAACTTACAATATGCAATTTTATTTGATAATCTCAATTCCCCAGCTATCTTTCTGAATCCGAGAAGCCTATTCCATATTTGCTTTGAAATATTTGAGTTCCAAATAAGTGAAACACTTTGTCTCTTTGCAACTGTTTGTGAAAGATATCAAAAAATTGGAGAATATTTTATGGGGAAATAGATTTTTTTTTTTTAGAGAGAATGGAGTTTATACCGCTTAAATTAAGTTGGAGATTTTTTTATTTTTTTATTTTTATGGAGAAAGAGATAGGAAAGGGGTTGTTGAGAGTTTGATCAAGTGAAGGAATTATGGATGGGTGGAGATTAATCACTAAAAGTTCGGGATTGAGGAGTTATTCTGACTTCTTTTTTTTTCGTGCTTACTGCTTATCTCTTAAAAAAAATTTCAGAGTTTTTTTTGTGTTTTACCTTTTTTTAATTTAATTTATTTTTTACCCTATTAGTTGGTTTTTCTTTTTTTACAAATGCCTTCTTAAATGGGTCATTAAAGGTTTAATCTATGTATAAAAACTTAAAATGCCTTAATTGAGTATCTATTACCACACTTTACTAGTACTGACATAATATCTTTTCCTAATATGATATTTTCCTAATAATGCCTTAATATCTTTGTCGTTATAAGCGTTTTTTCTTGTAGTGATACTAATAAATATTCACAGTTGATTACGTTGTATAAAAATTACACAAGAAAAATGGGTAAAATAATCATAATACTAATAATATAATTATACTAGTAATCATTTATTAGTATTTCCCGTTAAGAGTTATACTAATAAATGATTACTATTGATTACGTTATATAAAAATTATAAAAGAAAAACGAGTAAAACTTGTGTAATAAAATATTTATATATTAATGGGTCATACTTTTTATCGGCCAAATTTTTTAATAATAATAATAATCATCATCATCTTTAAACGTCTTATAATCATTAAATCATGAAACTCATATATATCTTGAATAAGCCACACACCGTGCGGAGTAAACACTAGTATATATAAAGAAGAGTTTTCGGTCGGACGCATAGCGTAAAATTAGATATGTAATTCACATGGTAAAAAATTAGATTGCAAAGTCCACATGTTGCAATCACATTATGCCACCATCTAATGATAATTTTTTTATTTGTAAATCAATAAATCTGTAACAATCAATTTTACCCCGGTTTATTTGTACGGGAGAACAAGTATTAAATTTAAACATACTTAAATATAGCTATCAAATAAGATAATTTTGAAAAAAATAAATTATAAGAAATAAGTATTTCAATTAATATTTTCCTACATATAAAAGGGGTGGTGGACAAAACCGTAAAGGAATTTAAGGATTGGATGCTAACACACAGCTCAGGATCGGCAAATGAAGGAGATGGAGTTTCAAAGTTACATTGAGGAAAGGAAACATGACGTGATCGAGTCCGAATCCGCTTGGAAAGGCCGAACTCTCTCGCCGGGAGAAATTACTATTTCATTGATTATTTATTTCAGCAGTAAGTTGATCTCGTGAGATACCTAATTTGAACATTTTCATCGGTGCCGATTTACCAAAATTAAGGTAGGGATTGGCTAGATTTTTGACTGAACAACACTGAGATCGAGTTTGGATCTCTTCTATTATGCTTTTCTTTGAATTATAAGTTTTGAATGTTCTAAATAATGTCTTGCTATTTTGCTGTAAAAAGTTCTTAAGGTTAAGGACTATTAGTTAAATTTCTACCAACAAGTACAACTTTATGAGAAGTATCAGCATCATCACCCTTTTCGAAAGTTTACTTAATTTATCTGGATGATATTTATGGTAACATATGAATTGAATACTGGATTATATGAATTATGGTTGATAAAAAAAGAAAATAATAAGATATATATTTTGGATTGTCTATAATGAAAATTATTTCATCGTTGTTAAAAGAATGAATACTTCATATAGATACTAAATTTTTTTTTTTTTACTTTTTTCTTTGCATATATAATTATGTATTTTGGAATTCAAGTGTGGCAAGCGATTTTAATAAGAGTAAACAAAGTGTTATTTTTAATTGATGTTGCTACCGACAAAATAAGGTAACACGCTCAGTAAACTTTCGTTTACTCTATTTAAAATTATTTAAATAGAAATTAACAATATTAGTTCTCATGTATTTATGCAAAGGAACGGGTTTGAAACCTAGTTATAATGGTAACATTTTAATCCATACTTTTAGTAATTAGTATTGCGAGTCAATTAGAGGGCAAAAAGAAAAAAAAAATCCAAAATCCATCACCAATTCTCGATGAAAGTCTCTGGCTTCCTACGTCTCAATTGGAGGAAAAATAATGAAAAAAAAAAGAAGAAAGAGAGGGAACGATATCAGATCATTTTGATTATACAATAAAGGTACACGAGAGGCTGAAATCAAATGTATCTTATTTCTCTCCATTTCACTTCATTGCAGACATTTTCTTTCTCATTTTGTAAAAACATGGTCAAAGGCTTTGATTATTATGTTGCACCCTTTGGCGATACAGACACTGTTAATCCGGTCACTTGATGAAAAATCATTTATCTTATTGATACAACTTTTTGTTTTCCAAAAAATCACAACATCCTAACTATTAGATGTTATTCAACCTATTTGGATGGTGAAGATAGAAATGCTCTTCGCGTTTGTACAATTTTGGGGCTTGCACAATCCGTGCAAGCAATTTAGTCCCACAAGCAATTCATGCAACCAGGCCACGGTAATCGCTCTTTCCTTCACAAGATGTTTTTAGCTCGAGATCGAACTACATCTCGAGGCGATCCATGGAAGATCGAGCATCCTCGATGAATCTTATATATGAAAAACCGTTTTGATTTAATTGTTGCACCGAGTAATACATTTACTGCTTGTCATTTTCGCTAATTTATCGGCAACTGAGTTGACCTCTTGAAAGATATGTTGCACTGCTGCTGTCATAGCTGTCAAAATTTCTATGATTGACAGTAAGTCATCTTCATGTCTCCAAGGCCATTTGTTTTTATTCTTTAATATTTGCAGCAAGACCTTAGAGTCGGATTCTACTTCAACCTATTTTATACCAAGTTCTTGAAAGTGATTAGACCTTAGCTCTGCTTGGAAGTTATTAGCATGACCAATGTATTTGGATTCAACAAAGATTACTTGTCCATATGTATCACAAAAAAACTATTCCACAGCCGGCATTTTCCTGGATTTAGGATCGAGAATCCATCAAAATTTATTTTTACTCGCACAGGTCGAGACCATGAGAAAAACAATGTGTATTTTCCTCTCGGTTGGATGCTCAGTTAGGTTCTCTGAAGTCTTTGTCGCTGATTTTGAACGATTCCGAGTTCTTAAGCTCTAAAAACGAAGTTTGTATGACCATACTACATCTTGCTTTCGACTGTAAGAAAAATGAGGTATTCTAGTTCATTCCGAATTCGCTACACTGTTGAGTATAATAAAAGATCGCCTCATTGACGGTGGCTTGTAAAAACATGGTAGTCCCTGAAGGTTTGATTCGGTGACTGGGTTTTCTTTGATGTTCGTGTGGATTTCATCTCTGATTTTGTTTTGAACATTTGGATGATTCACCAACTCTGCAATTGTCCATTCCATTGACGAGTGAGTGGTTTCAATTGCAGCATCATTGACGTTTTCCACACACCAAATAATAATGAACTCCATACACAGCAAAAACACAGATCATCTTTGCCGTGGCAGCAATCAAGAGATTGGCGACTACAAGTGCAACATAAAAGTTCAACTCGGACAACTTTTCAACTTTTGGAGATGTATGATTCTCCCTGCTGAATTTCAATTCGATATCTTCAACCACTATTTCTCATAACACATTGATAAAGCAAAACCTGCAAAATCGACTAATTTCTTCCAAATTTTGACTGCAGCATCATTGTTTCGACTTTTCTTGCTTCATGAGTTGTACGAAATCTCCAAACACTGCAGCCAGAATGAAGATTATAAGGCATCAGCTAACATAAAGGACACAACATTCTGTGTTTATCAGTAAGCACAAAGCATAAAACCTATCATAACTTTCTATCTTTTTCGATCAGGAGTATAACTAGATGAACTAAAACTCATTCATTCCAAAACACGTCAAGTATATTAGTAAGAGATGAAGACTTGTCAAGGCAACTCTTACCATGTGATTGAAGTTACTAAAAATGGTATGATGTTAATGCTTTTAAGTTCAAGTTTTGTAGATCCTTATGGAATCCACCGAATTCCACTAGTATTCGTATTACATAGAGGAAGAGGCAATAGGAGATTGCTTACCAGGATCTGAATCATGAGGACCAGGAGACGCTTCAGGATGGTATTGGAGTGACATTAGCTTTAAGTTCTCATAGGCAAGACCGGCACAGCTTCCATCGTTGAGGTTAACATGAGTTACTTCTACGCCATCAGGTAATGATGCAGGGTCAACAGCATAGTTATGATTCTGCAGAATAAGCAATAAAGTTAATCTGGAAATAGCCACTGGAGCTGTTCAAAAGAAATAATTACACGTAAACATGGGTTACAAACGTAAACTTTTATGTAGCCACACAAGTGATACGGTAAGGTTTCACAAGCATTTCCACATTCCACAAGTCTAATTGATGGCAAAAAAAAAAAAAAAAAAAAGAGATCCCAATTAACTTTAAAATAGGATTCCACAGGACTTGACAGCAGACAGAACAAGAACGACTAAAGAAACAAAAATATGGTATCACTCAACTAAAAAAGCCCTAATCAATCATATATACCTGAGCACTAATCTCAACGCTGCCTTTTCGAATGTTCCGAACTGGGTGATTTCCCCCATGGTGACCAAACTTCATTTTAAAGGTTTTTCCACCTAATGCTTGACCAAGCAACTGATGTCCCATGCAGATTCCAAAAACAGGAACTTTTCCAATTATCTCTTTCACAGTATTAACAGCATAGGGAACTGCAGATGGGTCTCCTGGACCATTGCTAAAAAGAACTCCATCTGGTTTCATCTTCAAGGTTTCAGCTGCTGGCCATGTTGCAGGCACAACTGTGATTTTACAGCCGTATGATGCCAGACGCCTGAGTATGTTTGATTTGATGCCAAAATCATATGCTACAACCTTCATTTTAACAAAAAAATGTAGCATTAATTGGAAGTGTGTAAATGACATGAACTGAACTTTTAAGCTCAGAGACTCATTCAACACTCACATGGAACGTTTCTTTGTTCCTTCCACTAAAGTTGAAATCCCACTCTGAGCCTGTTCTATCGACCCATTCATAGGGACTAGTACATGAGACACCACTTATAAGGTCGATACCTGAAAAGTTATTTTACAAAGAATTATGTTTTCTTTAGATAATAGTAAAAAGATTAACACAATTACAGCAATATGGGTATGGAACCATTTGAGTGGATGCTTACCAACAATGTCCCAACTACGTGACATCTGTAGAAGTTCCTCATCTGATTTGGAGTTTTCGGTGCTCAATACACCAATGAGGCTCCCATCTTCTCTTAATCTCCGAGTAATTGCACGAGTATCAACATCATCTAATGCACCACGGGTGGTATCAAAACTATGTTTAGGTGATTAAAATTCGAGGCATCACCATTCTAAACAACACTGCAAAATTTAATAGTTGCTATGGACTCTAAGATTCTACTCACATATGCCCATGATGCTTCGCTCTGCCAAGTAGTCACCAAGTGTCTGAGTACATCTATAATTTGAGGTACTGTAGAATGTTCAACAAAGATGTGTGTCAGATTTTGACCTTAGCCCACATGAATGTATTAAAAGTTATCCCTAACATCATAGTTCCATAAAGCAAGATCACCTGATACTCAAGCTTCTTATTACTAGCCCTGCCAGGAAACATTGCCTTGATTCTTCATCATCTACACAAAAATTTGTGGAATTAGATGGAGCAAATTCTATTAGAAAAGATAATTTGTCCAAGAACTTCAGATTGGACACACCTGATAAAAACTATATCACTCACCAAAATTCACACCAGTGTTCCCAATATGGGGATTTGTCATCAAAACAAATTGACCAGCGTAACTAGGATCAGTGAGGATCTCCTGATATCTGTACATTCCAGAGAATAACAGGACCTAAGTAACAATAATAACAAAATTGAACATAGTAGCACAGAGATCCATACACATCAATATACTGAAGCAGATATACAATATCTGGTTGCAAGATAAATCTACATTCAGTTAAGATGACAAGCGGATAAGACCCGGCAAAGTTCTCAGACATGCAGACGTGACATTTTACCAAACCGCTAAGAGGTTGGCTCAAGTTCAGAAAACTTCAAACTCAAGTTGCACTATTGAGTTTCACACAACAAAACACCCATTGAATAAGAACGGAAATTTGAGAGTCGGACACAAGATTTGATTCGCCTCAGTTACTAATAAATAACTTTTTGCTGATACTTATCTCAAAGGAATTGGAACACTGAGACTGCTCGGTGAAGGGATTACTTAACGATAACCTACAATCCTACAAAGTATTTCTTTGAGCTCTAAACAACCTGTATGTATTAGAAGTAAAGAAACCATTTGAACTCACACGTCATATGTTTAGGCAAAATTAAAGAAAACGAGATTTACAATTTAAAATAAATTGCAACCCCACTGATCCAAATGTAGCTAAAGTAAAGATTACATAGTGCTATAGGGAAAGAAATATAACTTCAAGGCATAACAAAAAAAAAAAAAAATTGGGGCAAGATTACGAAACATCCTTGCTGCATATTGCGGCAAGATTACGAACAGCCAAAGTTTCAAGCCTTATCAAGGAATCCTGGTAAAATCAAGCTTACCCTGTTAAAGATGTGTTGAAAACCACTTCACCAACTTGAGTTCCAGAAGCACCAAAGGACTTTGCCTTCCATACTGAGCCATCCTCAAGCACGAGTCTAGCATCTGCTACCTTCCAAGGTCTTTCTACCAACCCTGAGGATTTGGTTCTTTTCAAATATCTTTCTTAAGCAGAGGATTTACATGACCATATACATATGCTGTGACAAATTCGCATTAATTTCATCTTTCTCATAATGTCAATATCCAATTCCACCATACTCAATTAGTAAACAAAAAACTCAACCAAACTTCACCCACTAATATGTTTCATAGTAAAAGTCACAAAAGAATGATTTACCATCATTACAGTTCATAAAACCCAAGACAGTAACAATAGATGTTCGACTATCAAGAGGAACAATACACAAATAAATGAACAATAACAACTTACCAGCAGAAAAGCCTTCAGAGGAGAGAGAAACAGACGAGCACTTTACAGTAAACAGCCTAACTTTAGGTGAAAAAAAAGCACCTGCAAAATGGTGGTTGGGAATTACTCATAATCCATCATTAACTACAACTTAAATCTCTCTCAAACAATCACAGTGAGGAATCATGGATTCTTTAATTTTTAAGATTTGACAAAATTTTCTGGGTTTTGCAGTTGATGAGCTCAACAAAAGGCAACGTAAATTCTTTCATACAGAAACCAGTGAAGAGCGCAGCTATGAGCAATTTGTCAAGCACAGACCAGAGTGCGAATCAATAGAGGCAATGTGGTTGATGGGTCACTACAACCGGATTCAACTAAAAAATAGGATGATCACATAAAACTTTTAAATTATTAGCAGGTTTACAATGCACAAAATCCACCTTCAACCTTGTTCGGGAACTTGTCAAACCAAAAAAAATGTCATCATTTCATAAACTACATTCATATAAAAACATCCTCAACTAAATAATATCTGAAGTACATAAGACTAGACAAACACCCTCCATGATTGAGACACCAAAGAGCCAACATCTCATCAAACAAGTAATGAAATAATGCAAAAAGAATCAAATTTCAGACATCTAATATCTCTAATTCCATCAACATTTCCAGAAAAGTAACTCAGAGCAGATATCTTCAGGCGCAATTTGTCATCCTGCCTGAACTTATTCAACATTCTGAATTGGTGAAGATGACATACAATTTGCTTTAGCAAGCACAAAAAGAAGAATGAGACCATGCAAGACATTAATGAAGACTTCAGTGATGGGTAATTTCAAGCTGGAATGAAAAGAACCAAGTACTCTGGGTAATTTCAAGCTCCAACCATTAATATGCTTATGCTTAGATATAAGATAAGTTAGATGGAAGCAGGGAACATCGAGGATGCACAAAGTTTCAAATTTCTGACTTCTATAAATAAAAGGCTCAACGAACTCATAACTAGGGGTCATAAAATAGAAGTAACTCAACAATGCATTTTGCTTCCAAATAATCAACAGCATCCACCCATGAAGGGAACACATTTCCTTGAGAGAGTTCTCAACTTCAAATTATAAAACTAACCCTCAAGAACTCCAAACTAAAAATGCACAGTTGCAAATTAATCACGTGAACAACTGTAGCTATTACGGCAACAAGAATTCAACTTCATTTTTGGACTCCTTAAAAATAAACTCACAAACTGGCATGTACATAACAAAAGGACACTTTAAAACTAAAAACAAACATAGCAATAGCATTAAAACAAAAGGCCAGAATCAGAGAACGCTTAACATTGCGGTCCATTTCAGTAGTATTGAGAGTTGCAGCTACATTCTACAAAAGCGGCAGCAAAGAAATGCTCATACACAAAGTAATAAAGCAAACCTTTCCCGTAAAACAGCTAAAATCGACATAATTATCTTTAAGCCAGCAAAAAGATAAAGCACATTAATCAGATGGCATAAATCTTCTCACCAAAAAAAAAAAAAGAAAAATCAGATGGCATTAAAAATGGCACACAAATGAGAACTAAAACCAGGAAGAAGAATAATAATTATACCTGGAATGGATTTGCCCGTCGGCGGGAGGCGGAGGATGGTGGTAGAACTACTGGAGGTGGTGGTGGCAGCGTATGAGAGCGCCATGGTTTATGACGAGTTTTTCTTAGGGTATGACTCAGCAAAGAGCTTTTTAAACTTGGAATAGAACTCTTTTTCATCTCGCCATTATTCAATTAAATTCATTTATATGCGCATTTTTTATTTTTATTTTTTTGAAATTTATGCTTATTGTTCAAACAAAAATGGTAAGAAAAACAAACCATTCGTAACCTAAAAATGTTACTACCGAGGTTAAAAAAAAATTCTCTCTCTAGAAAACTCTCTCCAAGAAATCCTCTCTGATTGACTAAGAATTTGGAAGACTAAGAATTTGGAAGATGGCAAGCGACCCTAGCGAGGACAACCCCGACAAGGCCGACGGAATGTGGAAGAACAACGTAGGGCACAAGCTGAAGGAGATTCCCACTGGTTTGGAGGCACCACTTCAATCCATGTCTTTCAAAGAGAGACTGATTGGGATTTGGAAAAGAAGAGCGTCATCGAAAATCCAGATTGAGCCCGGAGATGTAATCATGGAGAAAACTCCCATGAGTGAAAAGCTTCGATTTTCGGAAAGATTAAAAGCTATTTTCCGAGAGGACTGGGAACACATGGTGATAGTCTCTCTAATCGGAGTTACATTAACTTACGGGGGACTGAACAACGCTGTCAAACGAATGTGGTGCCCAAGCGGGGATTATGAAATAATCGATTTCACGAATGGATTCTTTGGAGTTCTACTGCCCAGTGAGGAAGATGAAGAGAAGGCCCTGCGTGGAGGCCCTTGGTTTGTGGGTCCACACTGTCTATCAGTCCAGAAGTGGATGCCGGGCTTTAGAGGTTCAACGGTGAAGGTGAATTCCGTCGTGACTTGGATCCGGCTACCAGACCTACCAGTAGAATATTACCATGAAATTGCACTCTTTTCAATTGGGAACTTTGTTGGCAGAACGTTGAAGATTGATGAAAAGACGTTGTATGCTGATAGGGGTAAATTTGCAAGGGTCGCCGTGGAATCAAACCTGGACGAACCGTTAACCCCTAGCTTCCAAATTGAAGACAGATGGCAAGCGGTGGATACGAAGGGCTACCAGTGATCTGCTATAATTGTGGATGTGTAGGCCATGGCAGCACAACCTGTGGGAAAGAACTAAGGCAAGACACTCCGGTGATGGAGCCGGTGGTTGGGATTGATGCCCAGGGAGGCCGAATGGAGCCTGAGGAAAGTTACTTTCAAGTCTCTGAACCGAATAGGTTGAATATGGAGAAGGAGGGGCGTGTTGGATTTGGCCCGTGGATGGTGGTTCAGAGGTGGCAGAACAGGTCTGTACGGCAGCAGGAGCCGGTGGCGGATCGCCAAAGCGGCGCCCGGAAAACAGGGGGGAGGGCAGATAGGCTCGCGTTTCAACGTCCTTGCAACGGACTTTGACAAAGGGGTCAATGAAAGTGCAACGGCTAGATCCACGCAGCAGATTGCTGGGGAATTTCAGTTTTCTAGCCCAAAAGGTGATGTGGCCCAAGCCAGAACAAATCAAAAAAATTGGAAAGCCCAAACTATGGTGGACTTTAATGGGAACCTTGGCAATAAAGTTGGGCCATCCAAAGCTACAAAGTCAAATGGGGAAGCTAGTAAGCCGAAGAATGGGACCCAATCAGTTCAGAATGTTTCCACAAATTCGATGAAAACTAATGTTCCAATCTTAAAGAATAAGGAGTCAGTGTCTGTATATACTCATGGATTAGAACAGGGAGTGAAAACTAATGCCACCAAACAGAAAAGTAGAGCTCCAAGAGGGATCACAATGGGTCAAAATAAAGAAATATCGAGTCACAATCAGGAAAAGTGTAACTATCCATTGTTGGGTTGGGATTCGGAATATTCAATTCCTGTCGAAGGGGGAAAGAAAAGGGGCAGATTGCTGCCTAATTGGAAAGCTTCGCCACCAACGTCGGGTTGCTCCACCATGGTGGTTGACCAGGTCCAGGCTGAACACAAACCGCCTGATCCACAGCAATCGGATCGGATGGAGGACGAATCAGGTACCTCGTCGGCGGCGGCACTAGCAAAACTGCCGGTCAAACCGCCGGACATCGGGGAAATAGAAAGAGTGGAGGCTTCGCAAGATGCAGACATGCAGGAATTGGATATTGCGTTCCCCCATCAGGGGAACTAGGTATTGTTTGATGTTTAGTCTTCTTTTTCCAATTTCAAGTATATCCGATTAAATGAGTCTGATTTCATGGAACGTTCAAGGTGCTGGTTCGACAAAATTCGGACCTGCTGTTAAATACCTTATCAGTAATAGTAAACCGGAAATTTTGGTGATTCTGGAGCTACGCATAAGTGGTGTTGATGCTACCAGAGCCATAAAGAAACTGGGATTTAAGAATTGTTTTGTGGAAGAAGCAGTAGGTTTGTCAGGGGGGATTTGGTTACTTTGGAATGATGATTGTGTCAACATCAGTGTTCTAGGTTCTTCTAGACAATGGATACATTTTTTGTGGGAATTGGGGAGGAGTTAGGATTTTTTGTATAGTGGTATATGCCTCCCCAGCTGCACAGGTTAGAAAGACGCTTTGGAGCGATCTGATACGTTTGAAAGATCAAATCTCAGATCCCTGGGTGGTGATAGGGGACTTAAATGTGTACCTTAGTGCAGAAGAGAAATCAGGAGGCGCCCCGGCAAATATGTCTAAGTGTCGTGAACTGAACGTTTTCCTCCATGAAAGTGGGTTGCAAGATATGGGGTTTATCGGGCCAAGGTTCACTTGGAAAAAAGGCAAGAGAAATAATTTGCAGGAAAGGCTCGACAGGGCATTGTGCAACCCGGAATGGAGGTTGCGGTTCCCAGACAGCTCAGTTACGCATCTGAACCGACTCAAGTCTGATCATAGACCAATTCAGCTCAAGATTCACCAGGATTTGGCACCAGCGATGGATGAAAGGCCATTCCGGTTCCAAGCCTGCTGGCTAACACATGCGGGATTTAATAGTTTCATCAGGGAGACTTGGAAAATGGATGCTGGTTATTGTGTGGCAGAAGAAGACCTTAGGGGGAGATTAATTAATTGGAATAAGAAAGTGTTTGGAAATATATTTGCAAGGAAAAGGCAGCTTACAAGGAAATTGGAAATATTAGAAAGAAGGCTAGAGCAGGATCCATCGACATGGCTTGCGGTTCAGAGGGACGGGATACAAGCCGAACTAGAGGAAACGTTAGTCCAAGAAGAGATATTATGGTATCAGAAGTCAAGAACTACATGGCTGCAATTCGGAGACAAGAATACTAGATATTTTCACCTCAGCACCCTGAATAAACGGAGAAGAGGAAGAATTGAGAGGCTGAGGAATGATGAAGGAGAATGGGTAGAAGACCAAAGCAGATTGAAAAACATGGCTGTTGAGTTCTACAAAGAGGTGTTTGCTAAAGAAGTTCACAACGGGGAGCCTGCAACGTGCCTTGCTAACTTTCTAATACTAAATAATGGTGAAGTGGAGGCACTAATCAGGCCGATTACCGCAGAAGAAGTCAAGACAGCAATTTTCGATATGGGTTCGTATAAGGCCCCGGGCCCAGATGGGTGGAGTCCGATCTTTTTTCAGTCTCAGTGGGATACAATTGGCCATAGCATCACGGAATTCGTGATGAAGTGCTTCCAGCAGGGCGGAGTACCCAGAAAGATAAACGAAACTTTGCTAGTCCTCATTCCGAAAATAAAGCGACCGTCTCATCTATCACAGCTGCGGCCAATCAGCCTGTGCAACGTTGTGTACAAGGTATTAACGAAGCTGTTAGCCAATAGATTGAAGCCGATAATGGGGAAATTGATCAGCAAAACTCAGACAAGTCTCGTCCCAGGACGTAAGTTGGTGGATAACACACTGATTGTCCAGGAAGTGATACATTCTATGAGGCAAAAAAAGGGAAAGAAATGTTGGATGGCCATCAAAATCAATTTAGAGAAGGCCTATGACAGGTTGGATTGGGAATTTATCCGAAATACACTCCTACAAGCCAGGTTGCCAAGGGAATTGGTGGAGCTGATCACGAGCTGTATATCAACATCTACCATGAAAGTATTATGGAATGGAGGAATATCCGAGAGTTTTGTGCCATCAAGAGGGATTAGACAGGGAGATTCTCTTTCACCTTACCTCTTTGTGATTTGCATGGAAATTCTAGCACATAATTATCTGCTTCTGTACATAGAAACGACTGGAAGGGCATACGCATTGGCAATGGCCTCATTATATCGCATTTGTTTTTTGCTGACGATTTATTTTTGTTTGCAGAAGCGAACGAAGATCAGGTGCATCTAATACAAAATATTTTGTCTGATTTTTCAGGGTTTCGGGGGAGAAGGTGAATTCGAACAAAACGAAGCTCTTCTTTTCAGGAAATACTCCGTCTAACCTGAGGAAGGCAATCAGCGAGAGGTTTGGCTATGGGATGACAAATAACCTGGGCAAATACCTTGGCTCGCCGGTCATTCATGGCAGGATAACAAAACTCACGTACAACGAACTCCTGGAGAAAATCAGATTGAAGCTAACAAGTTGGAAGGCAAACCAACTATCTCTAGCTGGAAGAATACCACTTGCACAATCCTGTTTGCAATCAGTGCCTATGTTCCAGATGCAATCCACAAAACTTCCCTTACATGTTTGTGATGAAGTGGATAAATTAGTAAGGAGCTTTGTGTGGGGGTCTACGGTGAACAAGAGGAAAATGCACCTTCTTAATTGGGACACTGTTTGCAGTCCCAAAGAGAGAGGGGGTCTGGGATTAAGGAAGGCCGAGAGAGCAACATAGCGTTTCTGATGAAGATAGGATGGGAACTTGTGAGCAAGGAAGAAGAGTTGTGGGTTCAAGTACTTAGAGCCAAATATTGCAAAGAAGATCAGGGCGGAGTGTATCTGAAGAGAAACAGAAACGCGTCACCCACATGGAAGGGAATCTTTGATGTGTTTCATCTGGTTACCAAGGGTATAACTTGGGTCATAGGCAACGGCAGAACGATTCGATTCTGGGAGGATAAATGGATCGAGGGAGAGGGTAGACTTGTAGAGCAGGCTGTAAACCAAATCCCGACAGATTGGAAATGTAGGCCTGTGATTGACTTTGTTACAACAGACGGTGGCTGGGATTTTATGAAGATAATGCCATTCCTAAGCAGAGATACAGTGGAGAAAATATGCAGGGTGCCTCCTCCAAGGGAATGCCTAGGAAAGGACAGACCTCGTTGGATGTTTAACAAGTCCGGTAAGTTCTCTATCAAATCAGCTTATTCTTTAGCGTGTGACGAATCTTTTTTCCAGGTTGACAGGGATTGGAAAGAATATGGACATGAAGAGGTCCACAAAGAATAAGAACGTTTCTTTGGCTAGCCTTACACAATAGGCTACCAACCAACGAGATGTGTAAGCGAAGGGGTGCTGTTTTGTCAGAAATGTGCACACGCTGTAACATGGAGGTGAAAACTACTTTGCACGCTCTGCGGGATTGTCAGATTGCAAGGGAAGTTTGGACGCAGATTGTGCCAGGCAATCGGGGACAAGCTTTCTTTCAGTAGGAGTTCAAGCAATGGATAAGGAGCAACTTGGATGCAGAGGACTTCAAATGGAGGGCCAACTTCGGAGTTACATGCTGGACATTGTGGAATGTGCGAAATGACAGAGTTTTTAATGGCATGAACATGAATGTGAACAATATCACCAGGTCTGTTGTGCGCAAATCAGACGAGATAGATAGAAGCCAGAGACTACTTGTGTGGAACAGTAGAGCAAAAAGAGGGGTCCAACAAGGCTGGACCAAACCCCCTCCAACTTGGTGTAAAATGAATTGTGATGGGGCTGTTTGTACAGTCTCCGGGAAGGCCACTGTAGGAGGTATTTTGAGAGATACTGCAGGTCGTTTTATGTTGGCGTTCAATAGGAACGAAGGGACATGTTCCATAGAGACGGCGGAGTTGTGTGCTATCCTTCTCGCCATGAAGGTAGCAAAACAACAAGGATGTACCAAGTTGCTGGTAGAATCCGACTCTTTATTGGCGATAGAAATGGTAAATCGCCTACGAGGGACGTCCACGACACCCCTTGATCCTGAATTAAGGGAGATTTTTAATCTTTTGCAAGCTAGGTTGGAGGTGCAATTCATGTACACAGCTAGAGATAATAATATGTGTGCAGATTCCCTCGCCAAACAAGCTTTGGAGATAGATAGGGGGCTATATTTTTTTGATGTTCCCCCGCACTTCATTAGTTTGCTGTTAGAACATGACGCAGAAATGTCCAATTTTTAGGAGTAGCATGTATTTATGCAGCCATTAGGCTCTGTTGTTTTACCAAAAAAAAAAAAAATGTTATTTCCATCATAATAAAAATATTTCATATTAAATTTTTAAATTTGTTATACAAATTTCAAACTTAATTTGAACTATTTTTTTGGATCAGGAAACAATAATATAGCTCTACTATAAATTCGGCAACGGCCTCCTACGTATTATTATCACCATACATTGATTATTTTGATATATTTCTTCCAATTTTTGGCTTAATTAGTGAATTACAAATATGACTAAAAATTGTTCTCTCGATCCTAGAAAAAATAATTTAATTTGAAATTAAAGGTTATAAATTGGATGATTAAATTTTTAAAATTGATAAATTGAATAAAAAGTTAATAATTGTTAATCTATACATAAGTAAAAGTCTCTCAGTGAGTTTAGAATCTTGAACACTATTAGTCAGAAATTAAAATGAGCATTCTGGTTGGCCTATTAGTTCACATGACATCATCAATTTTAAACGAGATTACAATGATCAATTAATAAATGTGTTTTTCTTTTTTTGCTAACAAAAAATATATTCTTTGGGCATGCTAAATGACGCCGTTTACAACCATATGTTACCAAAAAATGACGTCATTTAAATGTGATTTTTTGTATCCATTTTTACTGTCATTTTTTTGATCGCCCTCCATCCCTTCCTTCCCTACAAATCCACCTCTCTCCCCAAATGTCAATCTAATCTTCTGTAAAATGTCTTTTTTTTTTTCTTCTGATTATTGAGCTGAATTTTTTTTATAAGAACTCAAAATGATGTCTCCAAATAAATTTTCAATCTCACATCAAGCTTTTGTTTTATTTCTACTTATTGCTATTATTTTGAATAAAGCCTTGGTTTTATCTTTAAGTTAATACCATCAAACAAATTACTGTATATTTCAAGTTGTTATAAATAAAAATTGAAATATAATTAAATATAAGAACTGGTCGCGTGTAACGCAAAAAAAAAAGAACTAATTAAATTATATAAATCTCATAATCCAATTCCAATACTTTTAATTTTTTGGTTTTAGTCGTAGGTTTAACGTAGCAGCCCATGATTTGGCTCAATTCGCAAAATCTAAAAAAGATTTTGATAAATTTTGGGATGTCATTCTCGACTTTATACCTCAATCCGTGTTGGACGGTTTCCCAACAAATTAATGAATTTTCTCTCTTTCAAAAAAAAAAAAATTCCTGGTTTTAAAGTAGTAAGAACTCACGAGAAGCTGCATTATTTATTTAAATATTTTCATATCCATTTAGATAAACTACAGTAATTTTTTTTGGTCAATTAATTCTTTTGTATTTACACTTTTGGCTTTGTATTTAAACAAAAAGGCCTGGAATTCTCAACGGCCAACAGCTTACCAACAGACGGTTTCTGCAAACCGCCATGCGCACGGGAGCCGCGCTTGATCCGGGTCGGATCAACACATTCGGTTCCATTCAGAACCCGACATTCCAAGCTCGAACGAAGCCTCCGCAATGCCTCAAACGACATTCCTTTCTGAGATTCCCTCAACGGAATCGTACCGGCCGCTGGATTAGTCGGGAAGGAGACTCCCGGTCGTTGACTTGTGAGGTCAAAGCGGTACTTGATACGGTACGGGCCGACGAATTCAGCTCGAGTGTGGGGAACCCGGCGGTATCAACATCTTACCGGAATCCCAATTTCCGGAGGCCAAATCAGACTGTGTGGGAAGCTCAGGGGAAGGTCTGTACCGGGCCAACCCAAACTCGGCCGCTTTCCGAAGAACAAGCGTTTAAGGTTCTGGACACCATTTTGAGATCAGGTGAGTAGTTTGATGAAGTTCATTATGTTGATTTCTCACCTTCTTTGCTGTATATTCGTTTCTCTAATTTGTTCCGTTTTTAAATTATTTTAGTAAAAGATGGGCGGTACGGGTAAGCATAGTAAAAATAGCTCGTGTTTTCTGTTGTACGGTCAAATCTGGATAATGTTGTGCTGTGTCGAAGTTATGGGACTGGGCGGGAATAAAATTTGGTTTGTTGAACTTATTGATGCTTATTGTTGTTCATTGAATGTTTCAGCAAGAGGGGAACTCAAAGATGATGAAGACCCGGTATCGAAATCACAACTTGGAGCGTTTTTTGCGGCTATGACGATTCGTGCGAATACTTTCCCCGAATCTACCCAATGGAGTGAGGGAGAAAGGCTTGCAATGAATTATTACTGGCCGCAGTTAATGCAAGCGCTCTCTCCGGATATTATCTTTCTTGCTGATCCTGAAGGCAGTTTAATGGGAACTGGAAGCTCTGTAGGTCCCCAGTTTGTGGGAAATGTTCCTTCTGAAATGAGATTAGTGGGTGCCCTCAGGGAAGTTTTAGCTGGAGGACATCTTGGGTATGAAGAGGTTCAGGGTGTTCTAAAAGATGTTCTTCCACTTAAATTACAAGATTTGGGATCAGATAGTGTTAGTGAGTCATTGCTTTCAGCTTTCTTAATAGGTCAGCGTATGAACAGAGAGACAGACCGTGAGCTGAAAGCCTACTGCCTTGCATTTGATGACGAACTTGGTACATTTTTCATCGTTGCTAGTTGGATTAGTTTCCTTTTTAAATGTAGATACTTATGGCGCCTTCTCCTGCCTTCTTGGTGCTTTTCATTGATTTCTTAGGTCCTGCACCAGTTGCTGATGTTAAATCATTGACACATTATGGTGAACCATATGATGGAAATACACGCTTCTTTAAGAGCATGTTGTTTGTTGCTGCAGTTAGATCTTGTTATGGTGAATCTTGCTTGCTCCATGGTGTAGATTGGATGCCACCAAAGGTCTTTTCTGATCTCTTCACAACCCTATATCTTCTCTAGTTCAGAAAATAATTAAATGACTTGCTTTTGGTAAACATACAAGTATTTCCTCATTGGCAGTGTTCCCTAAATATTGGTACTGGTTGATACTTCTTTTCATACATATTTAATGCTAAATTGAAGATAAGAAGTAGGGAAAGAAGAAGAAGAGGTAGCACAAAAATTAATGTTGTAAACCCTGCAATATCCAATTTAAATTCCATCCATTGGGTGTCTATCTTTCACAGGGAGGCATTACTGAGGAACAAATGCTTAGGTTCATGGGAGCAAATACACATTTATCTCCATCGCAAGCGAAGCAGCTGCTCGAGGTTCATCTTCTGCATCTTTTTCTTCGTAGCTTTAACCTTTTTTCTTTCTGCCCCTCCATTGTGCCAGCAGTTAACTGCATTTTATTCACATTTTTCTAGTGTTACTTCAGGATGCAGAAGTTGGATTTGCTTATGTCAGTCAAAGGGAGGCTCACCCATCACTGTACGCTGACCTAACCAGCTATATTGTCAGAATTCTGTTTCAGCTCTTCCTTATAGGCTATGCTTGTTTCTATCTGTTAAAATTTTTACGAATTTACATTTTCTGTATTCTCTGGATAGAGATACGTAAATGGTAATTGTCGAAGGGTGTTGTTGATGATGGATATTCTTAGTTGCCAGAATTATTCTCTGGTAAATTCCCTTTCTTGGTTCTTTTGAATATGATGTATGGTGGCGTGGAGGCCTTCTATTTGGCTCTCAGTTTTTGACCAGTCATATCCTACAAGCTTTAGTTCAGTCTCTTTGGGGTCCAAAATCTATATTGACAATTCTAGACTATGTTTCCAAAAGATTAAAATTACCAACCCAAGACTTTTCGCAACAAAGGAGAAGTATTATAGGATACACGACTCTTGGGAACTATACATGGTTGTATAACTTGTATTGCTTCTAGCGGAATCTGAAATGCTCGGGGAAGGGGGTGGGTCGGGATGTTTAGTTAAAAGGATGAAAATATCGTAGTTGTACTGAGAGAAGCATGCCAAATCCCAGCTTTTTCCAGAGAAAACAACTTTATAAATCTTTGACACGCAATCTATGGTTTTTTGTAGTGGTCTGGTCAGCCTTCTAATATCATAAATGTACCATATTTTTCCAGAAAACACAATACTGGAAATCTTTTACAAAGATTTTGTGGTTAATTTATGGTGGTCTGGTTAGGCATCTGATGAGTATCTCTTTGCATATACATGGGTTGAATGAATCATTAAGGTTCTTAAAAGAAATCAATAACTCTAAGGTCCATATACATTTGTCTATACTGAATAAGAATTAGTGCCATAGGTAGAAGTCGTAGCAGATGATTTTTCTCTGATTAGTTTTGTGTCTTTTTTCTCTTATTCTTCTGTGGTTTCATGATGGCAGCACCAAATGTAATGACCAATAACCACATGATTTTGCAGATATTCATTAGTGAGGTTGAGAGAGCACATAAAGAAACGTCCACCTTTGGCAACATCGGAGAAGGTTCAACAGATTGTTCGGGTAATACTGATTGCACCGTGATATTTGATGCTGCTAATTTGTATTAGTTCGTTATCTTGGGCAACATACACTAGGTCTATGGTTCTTAACTTCAACTGTGAACAGAATTCTCAATTTTTTATTGTTGACACCTTGGGTTTGTGATTTCTATGAAATCAAACCTTCAAACATTTTTCTTTTTGGTAGACCTCTTTGTATATTAAACTCAAATTTACTCGATTTATGTTTATAACGAAATTCCAAAGGCCATTTACTTTCATTTCCATTTCTTAAAAGATTGATGCAAATTTGTCTTTTCTTGCAAGGTGAGGTTTAAAATATTGTTCAAATTCCTGGCTTTTCACCTTTCAAAAAAATCTAAGAAAAACATGTATAATGTGCTTGTTGTTTGAGGGAAAATGTGCACTCCATAATTTACAGTCATGACTTTTATAGCTGAAGCTAGTGGGTAGTAATTTGGCTTAAACTTTTGGGGTCATGATTGAATTTCCTTGACAAGGGTTAGGATATATCAACAGGGGTATGGAACAGATTGGATTATTGAAAATTAGTAATTTTCATGTGAAGCATATTGAGAAATATGTATGAACAATTTCAGTAAATACAGTTCCTGAGTTCCATGTGACCTATAATTGTGTGTGATCACGTCAAATGTTTCCATTGGCATTGCTGTCTAGACATTTGGTTCAGTGTTCTCCAATCAGATGCTTCTTTTATTGTCCTTTCTAATTCGCTTCCTTCCTTTTAATTGCATAGAATCGGGGAAGGGAATCGATTGTTGCTGGATTTTATCATGACGGTTACGAGGAGCCATTGTTGATGCTTATGAGAAGAAGAGGTGTTCATTCTGGTTTGGTAGTCAAGGTAGGCTACTTCTGGTTTGTTAGTCAACGTAAATGCTACTTGTTGCAATAATTAGGAAAATCAAGAAGATAGCACTTCTTGAGAGTGGGTCTACCATACATTACTCTTTTTTTTTTGTCATTTAATTTTTGTGCGAAATATTTTTGCATAGATGTATCATGTTGTATCTTCTAGTGCTAACGCGGATAATTAGCTACTCCCATGTAGGTGCTCATGCATGATTCTTTATTCCTATGCTTGTACAGTAAGAACATTAACTATCCGAGACTTCTTGAAGATATATGTTTATGAGGAAGATGTGTCAAGGTGTTTTGGTTTATTCAGAAGTTCCAGCCTTCTAATTTATGCTTTGTAATGTTCTCATTTCTCAATTTCGTTTCTATATTTAGGGTGAAGAAGGGGCCCTTTCAATGACGACAAAATCAAGATCAGTTAATGCATCAAAAGGAATACCTGTCAATTACTGTTCAGGATTCCGCACGTTAAATCTGTCACCAGCCGATGCCCTTGATGGTATGACTGTCCTACCGTCTTACATTTGTTTGTCAGGTTGCGAAAAGTTTAATGAATTTTCATGTTCGAGTGGAAATGAGAAGCCCAAAGTATTCCTTGATAGATGAAGAGGAGTGATTGAGATGTTTTGCATGCAGTACTCGGGGTTTTTTGTGTTATAATCACATAACATTGTATGTGTTACTGTAGGAGTATCTCGTGAGACGTTTACAATGGAGGTAGATGCAAGAAACCATGGTTTTGAACCAACTGATACTCCAAGAACTGACAGATCGGTAATGCCATTGGTTCTCCTGTTTAACTGCTTATAGTTGTCCATTCTTGCTTGCTTGCTTTTAGTTCTATAAGGTTCTTGTATGGTCTGGGAGTTCCACACAAACCACCTTGCTACTTTAGATTTTTCTAGGCACCATTGCCCTTTTAACATTTGGAAGCATGCCGTTTCTTCTGGGCATCCATTGATTTTGCATTTTGTCGTGTGTTTAATCTTATTCTTGCTTTTGTCTCGACATTGTTTTGGGGGTGTAAATGTAATGCAGATTTCACTAGCTTTTTATGGAAAGTGAAAAAAAGTTGGATAAGTCCTAAAAAAGAGAAAAAAAAATGGGATATGATTTCTGGAAAAAAAAAGAAAAAGAAAAAAGAAAGTGAAACACAAAAGAAGAAGATAAAATTAAGGAGTTTGAATACTGTCTGGTTACTTCGGAGTTGCTCCCTCCGGTCCTTATTATAAGGCATTTTGGTTTCTTCATAGGTTTCACCTAGAATGTCTTTTTAATTGGAATAAAAACCTTAAAAACATTTCATAACAATTAGGAGAACACAACGGATGTGAAAATATATTCTTAAAGTTTTTTTTTCCAATAAAAAAGACATCCTATGTTAAACCTAGGACGAAATCAAAATGCCTTATAATAAGGACTGGGGGAGTATTTTACATGGAGAATAGGCTTCCTTTTGAAGAGTGGTTGCTCTTATAAATATCCAGTCCTACAAAGGACCTGGGGCACTGATTCTCATTAAATTGTGTTTTTCATTCTATGACTTATTAATAGATCGCAAGGAACATAGAATTGGGCTTAGCTGCTCTGAGCGGCGAGAAAGGACCTGCATATGATCGGATCATCCTCAATGCTGGAATGGTAGATCATTTGCTCGGTTGCGATGGTGCAGAAGATATAACTTCAGCTCTGGACAGAGCTAGGGAAGCCATCGACAGTGGCAAGGCTTTAAAAAGGCTTCTAAATTACATCAAAATATCCAACAAACTGAAGTGACACCGGTTCATGTTTGTAAAGATCGCCGAATGTTTGTCTTTGATATAAGTTTCTAGAAATGAGGGAGAATCTCGATTCTGCGGAAATTTCTGCTGCCTGCTGAACTTCATTTTTGGTCTGAAGCTGTACATGATTTCGAGGTTTTTGTGATGTACATTATTACTCTGTTTTGTCGGATGCGATGTTACTCAACCAAAGGGGATACGTGGAAGTTTGGAATACAATATTGAAACACTTGTGTACATTTCACAACACAATCTGAGATACAATGTTGTTTTATGGCTGTTTCCATAGCCTCACGCTTTGCACATTAGATGGGATTCAATCTCATCCACCATTCAGCTTACAAGGAACGCAATCCTAAATTAATTTGCGCATTTTTGCGCAAAAATGCAAAAACTAGATTGGTAGGAGTTTTAACAGGGGTTTCAGATTTAAGACGAATGCAGAATTTGCTTCGGAGGAATTATAACCGGGGTAATGCAAAACTTACAAGCATTGCAGAAACCAAAAACTATGCATTGGGCATTTAATTTTTTCCTCAAACAGCTGGATGTGATAGTATCTTCAAAATCATTCCTCATAAGCAACCGCTAAACTATTTTGTAGTCTTATACAGGAGATTAGTTAGAAAGGTTAAGTACATGGTTGAAGGAAAAGACACAAAGTGATCAATAACATTGATGTATCGTGAACTGGTGACATTAGAACAGCAAGGCTGCATCACAGGCACCTTACACAGATTGACAGCATAGAGGGAGAGCAATTGCAATTGGAGCACAAATATTCTGGGATATTTCTGTGGGCTTAAAAGACGGCAAAACTTTGCGATTTTGGTGTTGTAGAATCAATCATTCCATCCTATTTTGCATTCTGTTTCCACTTGATTTGCAATTCCTTATAATTTCTAGCACAAGTACATCAATGAAACGGAAACAAGTACCGGCATGTTGCTTTCTAGCAACCAAAAGAAAGATTGAACTATTTATCTTCCTTTGAAAGGAACTATCTTCATTGGCCAAATGCATCAAAGAAATGGACACAATTCGACAATTACAAACCATTTTGTTGTTTCCAATAGCTCAAAAAGTGCAAATACAACCGATTGGCAATTATTATTAGCTGAACAAGATGAAACATTTCCCGCCGCCCTCTTTTGGATTACAAATTTCAATGATGACTTCCACCATGGCCGCCTCCTTCACCCTTTTGTGCAGCAGCTCTCAGTTGACGCTGCTCCTCCTTGTAGATTCGATTCCTACGTTGGAACTACAAGAAGAAAGAAATATGATCAACCATTTGACCTCATTAAAGTTACTCAACAGTACAAACATACAATGTATTAAAAAACAACATATGAACGGTAAGATTTTGATATCAAGAAAACTAAGCAGAACTCTGTGATGAATCCACCTTGCCAGAACTTAGGCAAATACCGCAACCCTTTTTTTTTTTGGTCCATGTATGAGCTACCATTCCTACCATTCCTTAACACAGCTCCTAGCCACTGAACTAGGGTCACCTCGTTCCCTCTTCTTCTTCCCTTTGCATAGGCTTATACATGAAAAGTTTGCGTCCATCTCTTTAATTCTTATCCTCTGTTGGCGAGCTAAGATTGAGAACTCAAAATTACAATGCTTCCCATTTTATCACACCTAACTCTACCCTTCCTCCATCAAAAGATCGAGGGCGGAAGAAGAAACTTGCAAAGCAGACCACTAATTAGAGAGATTAAATCTAGTATTTGCTGCTCAGACAAGGAATCAAACAGGTTCATCTGAAAGCATCACTGGAAATGATAAATCTACTAATCTTTACCTAGTAACACTGTAAAGTTTCCCTGATTTGTCAAAACCTCGTTCAATACAATGGAACAAAGTTTTCGTAAATCTACAAAACCATCCTAAAGCTTCCTTCAGCACCGATCTTATTCCTTCTATCCAATCTAAGATACATAGATATACTTAGAGCATTCTTCATTATTTCACAATTGTACAAGACAATCTTTTATCATTATGATAAGGCCAATTAATATGTGAACAAGCCCGGCGATGGGTTTTCACTTATGAGTTCAGATATCCTAATGAAATTCAAACTCTTCAAATATTGGGATAAGGAGAGCTCATTACACTATGGCAGTGTGATTATGTTTCAAATATAAAAAGATGATTGACTAAGACATAGAACTGCCTGAAGAATATAGAAACTTTAGCAGCAAAAAATTTACAAAGACAAGAATTAGAGGGATGATACAAGTAATATGAAAACTTGTGAAATCGATTAATTCAAAGATATTTAACCAAAAGACTACGAAGATGTAATTCATTATCTACATATAGTATTGCTTAGTGAAGTTCTGCACTGAATGATGGAATAACAAGAGATCAACCCACCATTAATTCCAGCTTCTTCTTGGCAAAAAATGCAACTGGAAGATTCTGAGTAGGATAACACCTAATTCAAGTAATTCTAACTCCAGTGAAAAGCCAGGTTTCAGACATCTTTAGTTTACATTCAGGGTGGAGTAACAGCAGATCTTACCCCATGCTAGAATTCACATGTTGAGAATTTTAAGGTATCTTGTTTCACTCAAGTCTTATCTTTATAGAAAAGGAGCATCAGGAATGATAAGAATCTACATCTCGCAAAAAATGAACTAGTAGGCACTCATCCTCCCATCATAGCTTATTCAACCTTCCTGGAACAAGGTTTCCAATGGTGAGTTACAGTTCCTGGGCTAAAATTCTTAGCACCTTTGACTTCATCTCATAAAATTTTTTGTACATTAGAGCTAAAATGTAAATAAAAATATAATACATAGCGCAAAATAAATCAAACCGTCGAAAACGGCACTAAATCCATAGCAATTCAGTGAAATGAAGCACTCGATTCGAATGGCCTCACAAACCATGCCTTCATCACCTCTATCTATCTTCTCTTCCACCATTCCATCCATAACATACTATCCTAATGAATTGGTAATATATGAACAAACGAGAATAACATAATCAAATGCAGAGGACTTCCTTTTTAGGAGTTTCTTCGAGCTCAACCTTCCCCTATTCATACGCTTATCACAACCACACCGGAACTACCACTACATTCCAAATCAGATTCTCCGAAACACATCTCAATGATCCAATTCATATTACACAGATAAAACGCTTAATTCAGTCCCTAAATGCATAACATCACCCAATTAAAAAACCCCCCGAAATGAAAACCCTAATCAAACATTTTCCTCAACTACCAGCTGTATATGTGACAAAAGAATCAGCGGAAGACAGAATAACACAAAGCACAAACAGGAGAAATGAAACCTAATCGGGGAGAATTGATACCTCTTTGGAGTGATGAAGACATTCGAAGTAATCTTCCCTGAGAAGGGCGCAATCTTTGGGCTCTCTACAGCGGGACATACATTCACTGAAATCCATCCAGAAATCATAGCACCGTCCTTTGTTCCCCGTTATTCCCCAACCGGACGCCATCGTTTTGTTCGCCGCCGCCGCCGCCCCTGTTTTGCAGTTAGTTGTGAGCTCTCTCCGCCACGTCAGTTGCTGTTGAACTGATTTGAGAGGTCCGGGACTATGAAACTCTTTTGATCGGACATGAGTTGAGGGTACTTTTGGACATTCACAGAACAAAATGTTTGGATCTACTAGTACAACTGTCCAAAACTTCAAGTTGATTGTTCTTAAAATAATAATAAAATGGGATTTTCTAGAGTCCCTTATATCATTTATACGAACCGTCCTGTATTTTTTTTCAACCAATCAAAATTGAGAGTATAAAATTTATTCATGTAGTTTCAAAATAGATTTTATTAAAATAAATTTTTTTTAAAAAAATAAAACCTGTTAACCAGGTTGTTTACCGGATAAAAATGTTTAAAAATTATTTGAACTATTCCCACGGTGTTGTTTTCAGAGAATCGTTTCTCTCCTTTCTTGAACTGTTTTGTGGGACTTCTTTTGGTGAATACTCTCTATGTTTGTTGGAGTTTACTGCAGAATTACAGATTCTAAATTGGAATTATAGATTGCCCGAAAATTAGATTTGAACTTGATAGAGTGAATCTGAAATTTATGAACTTCTAATTCAAGACGGGGTCACGTCACCAAATTGGCTGGCTGGCAGAAGCCTGATGCTGAATGGATTAAGGCGAATAGCGATGCAGCAATTTGTTTAGAAACAAGGGAGGATGCTGTGGGTGTTATTTTAAGGGATGAAAGGGGCCGGTTTATTAGAGCATGTAGCAAGAAGGTGGGTTCATGCTCTACTGCATCAGTCGAACTTAGAGCTATCATACTTGCTATGGAAGTAGCCAAAAGCCAAGGCATCAATCAGTTAATCGTAGAAACTGATTCACATGTGGCGTTTGATTTGGTGAACAACCTGAAAGATCAAACTCAGCCGCCTCTTGACCCGAAACTGCGTTGTATATATAATCTTTTGCTAGTTAATAGGCACACTCGTTTTGCGCACACATGTAGAGATAACAAAACCCATGAATTCCTGTCACAAGATCCATGTTTGTGTTAACAAAAATATTTCAACTTAAGAATACTCATCTAGGAAGAGATGAAAGCAAGAACATACGTCACCCAATTCATCCCCGCTCACTTCTTGAGAAATTCTCTTTTCATAGAAAGTACGTCTGAAATTTGAACAAGTTATCTTGTTAGTAGGCAGATCAAAAGTCAAAAGTCCAGATATTTACAGGAAATAAATAAAAACGTTAGCAGAACTAATAGCTTCCAGAATTACATGGCTGACAAAAAATGTGGGAATACAATGATTTCAGTTACTCACAAAGCTGAAAAGCCAGGCAAAGAAAACACTAAAGCACTTTATTCCACAACCAAACCAACAGGTTCAAAGTTCAAAATAAGAGCCAAATATAGATTCCGGGGAAGAAAACAGACCAACAAACATAATAGTACTAAGCAAGCTACTATACATTTCCCACAAAATGATTCCAACAGTCAAAGCTAGTAGAAAAATAGAATGAGCCATTATAATTCTCCAAAGCTAGATCATTCTTCATGCCATAGATATCCTCAAGTACCTTTTGGAAGTATTAACCTAAAATTTATTTAAAGAACTAGCAAGAGCAGGCTAAACCCCTAAATTCAAAGTATATCTATCAAAAACAGCTAAAATCCAAACGCACTATTATCAGCACAAATTCCGAACAATAAGTAAACACGTCCATTAAAATGGCACAACAGACCATAAAAGGGAAAGAATACATTCATAAGATAACACCAATTGCTACCACCACAAAAGAAGGGAAAAAAAAAACAAATCGATAATGAAAGGGAAAAGAAAAGAAGGCGAATTAAGAAAACCGTACAGTTTCTGGTCATCGTTGATTTCCAGCTTCTTCTGACAACCGGTGGTCGGATTAGCGGTGTTGAACTGCAATTCCAAGAAACAAAGAGCTCAGATGTTAGTTTAGGAACCAAAAGCCATAAATAAAAAACGTTGTTAGGATTCTCGGCTGTGAATGTGTGTGTGTGTGTGTCTGTGTGTGTGCGTGTGCGCGTGTGCGTAATAAGAGAGATAACGGTGGTGAGATTTCAAATCTTCATGGTGAAAGCGGACACGCTTCAGTGCCGCTGCTAGAGAACAAATAACTTTTCACTAGGGTTTCTCGTGCAAGACAGGACTTGACTTTATATACGGTAAGCAGTTGTCATGAGTCAGGGACTTTATTGACTCCATTTTATTGTAGAGGGGTCAACTTGTAATTCCGTAAGTTGAGAGACTGTAAAATATAAATAGTCCTTACAGGATGAAAATATGATTATCGAATAGAAATGTATTGAGTTGAAATTTGTGTTTCCCCTTTGGGGTGTTCTTCGAAACCCTAGCTTCCTCCCCAATTTCTTCTATAATTCCCGTTAATCCTTCCGTTTTGATCGGTAATTCGTCGAACCATTACATTTGGTATCACAGAGCTGTCGATTCTTGCCAATCATGGTTCCAAATTTCCATTTCTTCCACTTAAATCCATTATCTGATTATTCTTCGAACTTGATTTTTCCGAATCGATTTAGTTCTTCTCACTTCCTTCGGATTCATTCTTCCGTGGATTCGTTTCTGATCCGTCATCTTCTTCCATATTCTTCTAAATTTCATCGAATTCGCCTTTTCGGATTCGTTCTGCCTCTACCCTTTTTTTGAATTCAACTCATCCGAGTTCGATTTCTTCACAGTCAGTTCTGTTCGTCATTTCCTTGATTTTGTTGTCACGTTTTTCTTAATCAAAGGAATTTATCAATTTTGATGTACCTAGGATAGATGCCCTCTTATCTCTGCCGGCATCATATGTTTTTCCCCCAAATCCGGTCCCCTTTGGATTACCGAAACCCTCATCGTCCGAAATTCCTCTTTTCTCCTATGAAGGTTACAGTTTCTGGCTGAAAAAAACTAAAGAATTGTTTGCCCGTAATTTGACACCACCAGAAATTAAGATATTCGTTGCATCTTTCTATATTGCAGGTGATGCTCTTCAATTCTTGTATGGACTGGAAGCCGTATCCCAGTTTTACAATTGGGCAATACTGACAGAGCAGCTGGAGTTTCGATTTGGACAGTTCATCGGGCAAACTGTGGTGATCAACTATTGGGAGGACTGTGAATCCTTCTTGGATGAAGGTAATTTCCCCTGTCTAGTTGTGAATCTAACTGCAACTGTGGGTCTTGATGATGTGTTTTCGAAATTGGATGTTGATTCTTTAAATTCGGGTAACATGGACTGTGAAATTGAGCATGTTAGTGAATTTGTGCAATCTTGTGATATTGAAACTCCATTTCAGCATTTAGAAGCATACTCTATGAATTTAAAGGGGGTGTATAAACAGTCTGGGGAAATTGATGTTGCAAACGAGATTGGTGAGTGCACGTATAATCTTGGTTTGCTATTTGATCATGATGTTGGTTCAGAATTGTTTGTGAGTTCTTCCTCGAATGCAAATGATTGTTGCTTGGTTACATTTGATCCAGGTGAATTAGTATGTATAAATAGTATTATAGCATCAGGGTATTTTGCTAAGTGTTGGGATTTTGTTAAGGCACGAAGTCATTATGAGTATGAACTAGACTTAGACGACTGGTTTGTACGTGAACTCAAACCCTTTGCTGAAATGATGAATATGGATCAACCATGAGAATTGTTAGTATCATGTTTCAGAGGCAGCACAATCATTTCTTGATAGTTGTGATGACAAGGAACATGTTTTGCCGAAAGTTTTAGATGCTAGCCCTGTGAATTCTGTTGACATGTTTCCCCCACTGCAAAAGGGTTTGGAAGCAGTTGAACAACTTGGGGCTGATCAAGGTACTAAAATGGGTAGGGTGTTTCGACCTTGGGGACAAGTTGTAACTGGTTTTAGGGGAGGAACCAGATTGAGGGAAATAGAGATTTGGAAGAGTATGATATTACTAAAAGAATCAAACTTCATTTGGAAGGTTGCTTGGTTGGGGCTCCGAAGAAGAATCATCAATGAAGTTGTTTCAACTCTCCAGAGGGGTTCTTCAAGTCTTCAATTCCTTTGTTTTATTTTTTGTTGTCTACCGTGTCCTTGTCTAAGTTGTTGTTTGTTCTGTAATAAGACATTGTTGCCATTTCTGTTTACTATGTTTTAAGTAACGACTCTGTATTAACCGTCTTGGGAAGACCATTTTTAGAGGGGGTTTTGTCACGAGTCGGGGACATTATCAACTCAATTTTATAGTGCCATTTCTTGTTTGAAGTTCCAACATCAAGCTTCTTTAGTTTTTCTTGACACGACCCATGAATTGGACACGAACTCGACACGAAATAAACGAATTTGGGTTGAGATTTTGAACCCATATAATAAATGAGTTAGATTGAGTTGACCTGTGTATTAAACAGATCAGGTTCGGGTTGACCTGACATGTGGGTTACTCATTTAACCCGTATAATACTAAATTACCTAAAAAATTTTAGATATAATTACAATTTAAGTATTGATTAATCTTTAAAAAAATTATGAACACTTTTTTTTCTTATCCCTTTAAAATGTTAAGTAGATACTATTTTTCATCCAAATATAAATGATAAATTAAACATTTCTTAATTTATATTATAATATTATATTTTTTTCATTTTTGGCAAAAAAAATACGGGCTAAATGAATCAATTCGGGTAACTTGATTAATAAAAAAGGTCGGGTAAGGGTTGAAAATCTCGACCTGTATAATAAATGGGTTGGGTTCAGGTTGAGGTAAAATAGTGGACCCAACTCATTTTGACACCCTAGTTTTGGCATACAATTTATAATTCAAAATCAAGAGAACATTTACATGTTTACAATCTCCAAACTCAATATGAACTATTTTTTTCCAGACAAAAATAGTATTTTTTCTTGTTAACTTCTACAATTTGCTTTTCTTAATTTTTTGTTATTATTTGAAGGCATTTCACAATATTGAGATATACTCTTAGATTGTGTTAGCAACAAATCTCAATAAAATTGAGAGCATATTTTCAGTATGATCAAGTTTAGACCAAAGTAATCATAAAAGCATGTAGAGTCAACGAGACTTACAATCTTTTCAAAAAAAAAAAAAAAAAACAAAAGACACTTACAAGGGCTAAGGACAATTCCTATTATATTTTAAGTCGTGAATACGATATAATCAATGTTTTTCATTGATATGATATTTTATTATTATTGTTTTGTTTTTTGTTCTTGGATATTTGCTTTCCTTCTTTGTGCCAAGGTATGGAATAGAAACAACTCATATGGATGGTTTATTTGTATCCTCACTGTCTCAAAATAATTGTCTAATATGATTAATATCATATTTTTTATTTATATTTTTAATATTCTTTTTGTCTTAAATAATTATTCTATTAATTATACAACTAGGTTGTCTCCCGTACGTTGTAAGGAATATATTAAAATATATTATTAAATAATTATTAGTTGTGAAGAAAATACTACATACTCGATTGATGGTAGATTATGAAATAGAATCTAAAGAAAAACAGATGAAATAAAGAATAAGTGAACAATAAAAAGTAAGGTATAAAAGACAGTGTAAAAATCAAGCGGTACTAAATTATTATAATTTAAATTTCTTTGAGCTTAAACATAAGAGAAATGTTTTACTTGAATTTTTTAAAGTAATTTTACCCCGTTAGATTTCAATATTCTTTTAGTAAGATGGATATTACAATGATTGAGTTTGAATATAAGAAAAATGCCTTACTTTGATTTCTTGTCATAATAATTGTGAAGTTTCAACTCTTTTTTGTTTCTAAACAAAAAGATTGGCATTAGAGTTATTCAGTTTGAATGTAATATATATATATATATATATATATATATATATATATATATATGGTTGGGATTTTTTTCATAATTTTATCCGTAAACTTTTAAATTTGTTTTTACCATATATGACGTTGGTTTTTTTTTAAAAAAATATATATTAAATTAGAGCACATATAATTAAAATTTTCTCAACTAAAAATAGAATGAGCTGATTTTATATACATTTATAACATGAACCTGCTTTTATGTATGTAGTTAAAGTTTTCTTTTTAAGCAATACGATATAGTTTTAACATAGTTTTTGAGCTAATTTTCAAGCTTATGCACATAAAAATTAATTACACATGATTAAAACTTTGACCCAAATCACACAATGTAATTACTTGATTTGATCAGGCTTTGTTGGGATTATATAAAACATAATTTTCTACACCTTGGGGCTTGGGGCCCAAGGCTAATATCAGTTTGAACGCCAGGAAGTTGGGAGACCACAATTTATCATCCAGTATTTCATATGATGAACATTGTCACATTGAGATTTCCAATAAACATAAAAATAAAAATTAATGTCGAGGGTTTAAAAAAATCTAAGGTTTAAGCAAATGAGGGGTTGGCTACGGATATTGTACAACTGATAAATGTATATACACATGGATGTGAGGGGTGTTTGCTATTTAGGTAGTAATATCTCAAAAAAAAAAAAAAAAGTTCATAATGAACTTTCAAGTTTATACTAAAACTAGTATAAATCTCAAAACTCTATGCAAATTATTTTTGGAATAGAATGCTTTTTTAATAATAAAAAAAATGTAATAATGTGTGATGCTTAAAAGTTAAAACGTAACTTGCAAGATTTCCTAATCTCACACGTTCTCTAATAATATGATGAAACGGCTACAGACCATAACATTTATCAAAGCAGATCGACCCAATAATTTAGCAGAGAAGTTTAAGGGCCCGACCATTGCATCAAAACCGAAAGCAAAAAGAACTGCTGTCACGACTGGGGGCCTTTTGGGAGTGGCCGGAAAATAGCAACGGAGAAAATGGACTGAGAACGGGGAAAATTAGGGTTCTGATTTGGGAACGATGAAAGAGGGAGAAGAAATTGGAAAATTCCAATTCAGCATAATAATTTCGATAAACTATTACAAGCCCCTGCTGAGATAGTTTTATATTCTACCTAATTTCAAAAACTATATTTTAGTCCCTTAAGTCTCTAATTCCTTCAATCCAGTCCAGGGGCATGAAAACTGCCTGCCGATATATAAAGTCCAACACGAGAAACCCTAATCAGAAGGGTTAATTGAATAGGCCATTTTTCTCTAGCAGCAGCGGCACCGTCGCAAAGCGCCTCCCTTTCACAATGAAGGTTTGAAATTTCACCGCCGTTATCTCTCTTATTACGCGCACACACACATTCACAGCCGAGAATCCTAACAACGTTTTTGATTTATGGCTTTTGGTTCCTAAACTAACATCTGAGCTCTTTGTTTCTTCCGTTTGGAATTTGCAGTTCAACATCGCTAATCCGACCACCGGTTGCCAGAAGAAGCTGGAAATCGACGATGACCAGAAACTGTACGGTTTTTCGTTTCGCCTTCTTTTCTTTTTCTTTCATTATCGATTTTGTTTCTTTTTACATTTCCTCTTTTGTGGTGGTAGCAATTGGTTGTAGCTTAGGAATGTTTACTGTCTCTTTTATGGTCTGTTTATGCCATTTTATTGGACATGTTTGCTTATTGGTCGGATTCGTGTTGATACAGTGCGTTTGGATATCGGCGGTTTTTGATAGATATACTTCCAATCTATGGGTTTAGCTCGCTCTTTCTGGTTCTTTAAATAAAGTTAAGGTTAATATATATAAAGGATGCTTAAGGATATCTATGACTTGAAGAATGATATAGATTTAGAGGATTATGACAGCTCATTCTAATTTGCTACTGGCTTTGACTGTTGGAATCATTTTGTGGGAAATGTATGCTTCAGTAATTTCATGTTTTTTTGGTCTGTTATCTTCCGAAGATCTATACTTGAACCTGTCGGTTTGGTTGTGGAATAAAGTGTTCTAGTGTTCTCTTTGCCTGTCTTTTCAGCTTTGTGAGTAACTGATATCACTGTATTCCATCACATATTTTGTCAGCCCTGTAATTCTGGAAGCTATTGGTTCTGCTAACGCTTTTATTTGCTTCCTGTAAATATCTGGACTTTTCTCTGATCTGCAAACTAACTTGACAAGTTGTTCAAGTTTTTCCTGTAAATATCTGGACTTTTCTCTTGATCTGCCAACTAACTTGACAACTTGTTCAAATTTCAGCCGTGCTTTCTATGACAAGAGAATTTCTCAAGAAGTGAGCGGGGATGAATTGGGTGACGTATGTTCTCGCTTTCATCTCTTCCTGGATGAGTATTCTTGAGTTGAAATTTTTTTTGTTAACACAAACATGGATCTTGTGACAGGAATTCAAGGGTTATGTCTTCAAGATCATGGGAGGCTGTGATAAGCAGGGTTTCCCCATGAAGCAGGGTGTGTTGACTCCTGGACGTGTTCGCCTTCTTCTTCACCGAGGTGACTATCCTTCATTTTATGATCAACTGGATTTTGTTTTCATTTGGTTGTTATTACTTCATTTTATGATCAAATGGATTTTCTTTTCCTTTGGTATTGTCTTGTTAATCCAAGAGTTCCAATATTTGCAGGCACGCCTTGTTTCCGTGGCTATGGAAGGCGCAATGGAGAGCGTAGAAGGAAGTCTGTTCGTGGTTGTATTGTTAGCCCCGACCTCTCTGTCCTTAACTTGGTCATAGTGAAGAAAGGTGATGCCGATCTGCCTGGTCTCACTGACATCGAGAAACCCAGGATGAGGGGTCCAAAGAGGGCCTCAAAGATTAGGAAGCTCTTTAACCTTACCAAACAAGATGATGTTACAAAGTATGTTAACACATACCGCAGGACCTTTACCACCAAAAATGGTGAGATAGTGCTTACATTTTTCCTTCTCCATTTGCATACGTTTTATAAGTTTCATGGCCTTTTCGTTCAGACTCGCTGTTGGTGGTTAATTCCATGTTTTTTCCCAACAGGTAAGAAAGTCAGCAAGGCCCCTAAGATTCAGAGGCTTGTCACTCCTTTGACTCTTCAAAGGAAGAGAGCTAGAATTGCCGATAAGAAGAAGAGGATCGCCAAGGCTAAGACTGAAGCTGCTGAGTATCAGAAGCTTCTTGCCTCCAGGTTGAAGGAGCAACGTGATAGAAGAAGCGAGAGCTTGGCAAAGAAGAGATCCAGGATTTCAGAGGCCAAGAAGTGAAGTTGTCTCAAGTCATTTTGACAATGTCCCCTAATCACCCTAGTTCTTTTAAAGTCTATGGATTCTAAAACATACCAGAATTTTGCCTTTTGTTTAGATGTGGAGCTTTTGCATTACTGTTTATTACTGCTTTAAGAGATTTTGGTGACTGATGATTCAATGTCTTCACATATCAACTTATTAGTTTTGGCCCGTTAACTAAATGCCCCTCTAGTTTTGGCGATACTACTATTTTCCCCTTTGACAGGGTGAAAAAGTTGGTCAACGCCGGAAAATGACGAAAAGCCCTGAACTTATACCAGCCAAAAAATAAAAAATGAAAAAGCTGAATATGAAAGGCTTCTCCCGTGTTTAACGCACCGAAACCCAAATCGGCATTTGCCTTTTCCTCTCCACCCACGCAATTTCAAATTTGTCAATTTATAAAGCATGCAAATGCAGAATGTTGGAATGGGCATCCAGCCGTGTTCCGGCACGGATTTCAACCTCAATCCTCCAAATTAGGGCTCTCAACGAACCGAGTCAAACCCAAACAGTTAGGTGTTCGAGCTCGAGTTCGACAAAAAATATGAAGCTCGTATTCGAGTTCAAACTCGGTCGAACATCTAAATTGAAGTTTGAGTTTGACTCGAAATAAAAACGAATAGCTCGAGCTCGGCTCGATTACTTCGAATTTTTGTGTCCGATAAAAAATGAGCACGAATGCTCGATAATATTGTGCTCGAATAAATTTTAGTATTTATCATTTTCAATTCAACAAGTTCAATCTATGTGTTCTATGAGTAAAATTCTTTGACAAATCATAAAAAATATGTATATTCCATTATTACATTTTCAAAATATAAGGGACAATAATTTTTAAAAAATAGGAAGAAAAGTTTTCATGAATTATATATTATTCATAATAAAAATAAATAATTTATAATAAGCTCGAATAGGCTCGACGAGCTCTCGAATCAAGTATTGTGCTACTCGTGTTTGACTCGTCTATCTAATCGAGCTGTTTGAATTCGCTCGAGTTCGGTAATATTTCTTTATTTGATTTTCCTAAAAGATACTATTTTCGTCCCAAAAAATAGTCAACATTAAGTTTGTAAATTTGTAATAAAAACCGTCTAAACCCAAAACTCAATGTGGACAATGTTTTTGGGACGGAGGGAGTACTACATTTTTATACATAATGATGGAGCGACATATATAAAACAAAATATTACTAATATTAATTGAAATTGTGAAATGTTTAATGTCAATGTGTATTATTGGGAATTGAATGACAGCCTAGCGGTTAAGTTGCTGTTCTTTCTGGTAATAGACCAGGGTTCGATTTCCACCAGGGATTGTAAAATGGGGAAGTTTACCCATATTTAAGTGGAGTCCACTGGGGTGGATTTTTTTTTTTTTAAAATGTCAATGTGTATTGTTATTTTAAGTACCTTTAGAATGATTTTCGATTTTCATTCCATATTTTACACTTCATCATAATTTATTAGAGAATATCAATTTCATATTAATGTATTATACTTCGGCAATTTAATACTTTTGTTATATATTTAGCAAATTCTGGCCATTGACCTGGTCAAACTAGTACCACGCTTAATTAATTTAATTTTCTGGCAATTTAATTAAGACTAAACTGTATAAATGGTCCCCTACATTTGTCCGAATTTAAATTTTAGTCCCCTATATCAACATGTATATGGATTGAGCCTTTACATTTCATTTTGAAACTTTTTTGGTCTCTTTTCACTGTTCCGTCACCATTTCCGTCTTGATGACCGTTGACCCTACTAAGTTAGGGATATTTTCAGAATGACAAATATAAGATCAAAATCACAAATGTTTAAATGGTCCTCTACATTTGTCCGAATTTAAATTTTGGTCCCCTACATCAACATGTATATGGATTGAGCCTTTACATTTCATTTTGACTTTTTTGGTCTCTTTTCACTGTTCCGTCACCATTTCCGTCTTGATGACCGTTGACCCTACCAAGTTAGGGGTATTTTCAGAATGACACATATAAGATCAAAATAACAAATGTTTTTATAATAAAATAGAATAAAATATTAAAAATTATTATTTTATAATAAAAATTAAATAACTTAAAAATAAAAAAATTAAAATGATTTCAAATTTCAAATTTCAAAATTTTTTTTTCACTTCCCACCTTTGTGGGTCCCACATGCCAGTCAATTTCTCTCCCTTTTTTTGCTACAGTAAAAAAAATCAAAATTAAAAAATAAACTTACCTTCACCCCTCAAAATTAAAAAGCAAAAAAAAAAGACGGGTGAAGGTAAGTTTACTTTTTAATTTTGATTTTTTTACTGTAACAAAAAAGGGGGGAAATTGACTAGCATGTGAGACCCACAAAGGTGGGAAGTGAAAAAGAAAATTTGAAATTTGAAATTTGAAATCATTTTAATTTTTTATTTTAATTTTGAAATTATTTAATTTTTTATTATAACATAATAATTTTTAATATTTTATTCTATGTTATTATAAAAACATTTGCTATTTTAATCTTATATGTGTCATTCCGGTAGAGTCACGGTCATCAAGACGGAAATGGTGACGGAACAGTGAAAAGAGACCAAAAAAGTTTTAAAATGAAATGTAAAGGCTCAATCTATATACATGTTGATGTAGGGGACCAAAATTTAAATATGGACAAATGTAGGGGACCATTTAAACATTTGTTATTTTGATCTTATACGTGTCATTCCGAAAATACCCTTGATTTAGTAGGGTCAACGATCATCAAGACGGAAATGGTGACGGAACAGTGAAAAGAGACCAAAAGTTTCAAAATGAAATGTAAAGGCTCAATCCATATACATGTTGATGTAGGGGACCAAAATTTAAATTCGGACAAATGTAGGGGACCATTTATACAATTTAGTATTTAATTAATATATGCTAATTTAATTAATAAACCTAATTTATTAATTAAAAATAAAGCATACATTTAATTTTTTAAGATATTAAATAACAAACATAATTAATTTAATTTTTTATTTGATTATTCTACATAACTTAACAAAAATCAGTTGAACTAATCAAAAATATATAAATATTCAGTCCGATCTCCTTTACTAAAAAGTAATACTACTGGAGTCCAGGTCCTGGACTCCTTCCTATTCGCGGTTATTTGGTCATTTTGGCGATAGGATTGGATTTGTTTTTTCTTTTTTTTTTTGGAAGACGGGGATCGAATTTGGTCATTTTGATCGGGTTGTTTTTTCAGTCGGGTTATTCATTTCCCCCTTCCCCCAAATCCAATGCTACCGCGATAAATTTTCTCATGGCTTTTAATTTTCCAACCCCTCCTCCCCTTCCAAATATCTTCATATTTCCGAAGTGATTTGGTCACTTGGATGTCGAGGTGGTCGTGGATGCTTTGAAAGTACAGTTTGATGATGGAGTCGATTCGTATTGTAATTAGGATTTCCAATTTGTATCAGGCTCAGGAAAAATACAGCTCCTGCTTCTTTCATCGCATGAGAAGCAAATCAAATCAATCAAAGCAGAGTAGCCTCTTTCCCGGATTCGGCAGTTGGGTCGGCCCTTTTCCGAAACGTCAGTTAAATCCTCATGCTTCGGCCCTATTAGATCTTTTTCCTCCTGCAAGATTGAAAGCCCTGAAGCTCCAACATTGTGATTTGTCAAATTCTGCAGCAAAGAGGAATACAGCTTCTTACTTCTGGTTTGAGCAATTACGATCGGAGCGACATCCGGAGATGGTAATTGACTTTTTTTTCCCTCCTTTTTTTTTTGACTTCTTCACTCTCGGATTAATGTTTTGCACTTCTATCAATGATTAATACTGAGTAGTTTCAGATTCCGATTTAATAGAATTGAAACATTTAAGTGAATAATCTCTCTTCTGGGGGGAGGGGGTGGTTTAGTGCTACAGCATTTGTGCTTTTGAAATGAGTAATTACTCTAGATTTCTAGCATATGTGTATGATGGACTAAGATCTGAACTTGCATAATCTTGTGTGGAAAAGGGAAAAGGGAGGGGAGTTTATTCACATTTCATAGTTGAGCGTCTATTTTGCGAAGAAATTTCTAGTTGTTTGAACTCTTGGGTATTGATTTTTCACTTTTTTGCTTTCAGTTTGATGTTGAATCTTTTCCTTCAATGTGTAGTACATAGCAAGTCTAACACAAACATTGGCATACTGCCACGAGAAGCATTGCCTCCACTGTTGGTCCTTTGGTCAGTGTAGAAGAGGCTTTTGAGATTTTGAAGCTTAAACAACTCTAACAAGAGATGATTATTATTCTAATTTTACGGTTTCTCTAATAATAGAAGAGTCTTTTTCCCATTTATTATCAGATAATGAGGCATTGGAGTAGGATTACTTCCTCAGGCAAATTAAATTGAAGATGACTTATTCCCTTTTGGTTCTTTCAAAAAAATATAAATAAAAATCTGCTTTTGAATTTTAATGCATTCATCATTAACATTGTTAGCCAATTGTTTCAATAAAGGTGGAGTAATGCAGAAATATTTCAGACTGAACCTTCATATTGAAAAGAAGTAGGAGTTTTTTGCCTCAGCTAAAAGTGTAGAGGATCGGTAGTTTTTCTTTTATCCTTGAGAATAATGAAGGGGGATATATTTTTTTGATTCAACCCCAGGGTTTATGTCTCTATTATTAGATGTAGAAGCAGAGATGCCCTCTGCTATGTAATCTTGTTTATCCTTAGCTCGTAAGCTAAGTTTGTTAACCAAAAAAAAATAATAATAATAATGAAACTCCTCCCTCCTATTCATTGAGCAATTTTTAGCTTTTTGCAGTTATTTCCATTTAAAAGGGTGAGGCAATTTTCCAGAACCCTCCACCTGATGCTATGATTGTTTGATAAACAGACTTCCAGGTGATCGTAGGATTGTTGAATACTATCCAGGTGAATAATCTCACTGATATTTAATCCCTTTCATAAAATTGAATTGGGTGAATGATCGTGATAGTTGAATGCTATATTGAGTGTATTGCTTGAATCTTGTAATGCCAAGGAATTGAATTGCATCAACAAATGCGTATAAGAAATTGCCCACCGATTAAATTCTTGTTGTTAAGTCGTCGACATCAGTTGGTAATGCAAATTGCCCACCAATATTGTTGATTAAATAAATGAAAGGGTTCGGGCACAATAAGATATTGTATTCTGCGATAGTATGTATTGAAAGTTAAGAATGTTTGGAAGTTAAGAAGTGGATAATTAGCATGCACCTTCTATAACACCGTATGATTTAGCTTCAATATATGACTCGCAGCTTGTTTTTGCCATTTTCCTCTGAAGACTTGCTGAAATGTTGTGTTTCATTTGCAGGTAAACTCTCCTGTTGAGATTCTGGAACTTCTAAACTTGTAACAGTATGCAAAGTTGAGGAGCTTATGTAACTTCATAAAGGTCCGTGAAATATGCTTTCTGAAATTTTTTTTTTCACGATTAATTTGTTTGATGATTGACACAAAATGAACATACACTTTGTTCGGAGTGTAGGACATAAATTGTCTGTGTAGTTGCAAAATTATAATTATAAAGAACACCATTAGTCTATAGGAAATTTTTTAAGTTGAAAAAAGTTCTGGTTAATGGCTTCACGGATTTTTTTTTTCAGAGACAACTATCATAATTTCTTTGAATCCAAACATTCATCCTTTTCCATTATTTAGTGCCTTTGTGTTGTTGTTAATTACCACTGACAGGTAGCCTTCGCAGCATATAATGCACGTTTCCTTTGTTCTTCTTCTGGTGGGTAAATGATTTGGTATTTTACCATTCTTTCTTTTTTGGCCTGGAGTTTTATGGCTAAAATATATAGCTTATGTGATTTGGTTAGTCTTTATGTTGTAGGATTTTGCTTCTAGTGAGTTCTTAGTCCGCTGTAGTTGATGTTGATGTTGATGTTGATGAGTTCTTGGTCCGGCTGTAGTTTGCAGTGTAGGATTCAGAGTAGGATTACTTCATCAGGCAAATTAAATTGAAGATGACTTATTCTCTTTTGGTTCATTCAAAAAAAATAAAAATAAATCTGCTTTTGAATTTTAATGCATTCATCATTAACATTGTTAGCCAATTGTTTCTATAAAGGAGGAGTAATGCAACAATATTTCAGACTGAACCTTCATATTGAAAATAAGTAGGAGGTTTTGGCCTCATCTAAAAGTGTAGAGGAATGGTAGTTTCTCTTTTATCCTTGAGAATAATGAACTCTTCCCTCCTATTCATTGAGCAAATTTTAGCTTCCTGCAGTTATTTCCATTGAAAAGGGTGATGCAAGTTTCCATAATCCTCCATCTGATTAGAACGAAGATCCATGTTTACCTTGTCAGTATTTCTGAAGGAAGATCGGGGCCTAGAGTGATGCAATGAAGCACTTCCGCCCTAAAACTACTTCCATATTTGGAGTGAGCCATTTTTATTTGAAGCGTTTTAGACAATAATGCCATTTACGCTTATGCACAATGGAACACTTTCAATATTGTAACTAGAAAACAATCTTCCAAAATTTGGGTATCTTTGTATTCATGTATCTTCATGAATTCATATTCTTGTGGCTATATCATAGTGGTTGAGCTTGGGATGACTCTACAAGCAATGCATCTGGAAGTAGTACAGTTCCTTGCTTACATAGTTAATTGCCAATTGTGTAGTAATGTTGCACACCTCAAACTCTTACTATTACGAACTTTAGAGTTTTATCTTGCTACATGACATGAGACCATCATGATAACTATATAATAAATCAAAATGCTTTTGAAAAATAATAAAAATCTCTGCAAGTTCAATCCAAAAATTGCTCTGAGAAAGCTGCGAGGTTTGGGACATAGATATTGAATTTGTAATTATATGATTCTTTAAAAGGGGTAATGCTTATTAAATTGTTTAGACTTTATTTTGCAATAATTGTGGAAGGTAATTTTTTTTGATAGAATCTTAATATAATGCATTTGATAAAGTTACAATGAGCAATAGAAGCAGAGTTACTAATTGTTTGAAGTCAATGAGCCAACTTCCATACAATCTCTTCCAAATAAAAGATGACCACATAAACATCATGAAGCTAAATGTTACTTTAGCCTCTGTACATCTAAAGCATGTTTAGCAAGGGCATTTGTGCACACATAATTTTTCTTATTTTCAAACAAATAATGGAGCTAGCACACTATTGTAAATGTCCCTTCATTCGGGATCAAAGGAAATCACAGAATGCCCTCTTAGGCGATTTACCAGCTGAAGCGCCAATTGAGAGTTGGATTCCACATTCAACTTAGAGCTTTTTCACTATTTTGCAACCTGCATTGGGAGGAGAATTACTCTGATCTCAGCTGTTTCGACATAGCAAAACCCTTCATCATGGCTGATCGCAACCAGCAACCAGCTTGCAGCAACAATAAGGAAACCGGCTTTTTCCTCCTCTCTGTTGCCAGTCCTTCACTTTCAAGCGTACTCTTTTGCTTCCTTGGCAGTAGGACAAGCAAGATATAGGTCATCTCATGAAAGATCTTCCAAGAATAAAAGGAAACCAGAACAAGCAAAAACAAAATCCAAATGTCAAATGCTAACTTTTGTTCTCATCAACATCAATACCAACTCCCCGATCTACATCATGCATTTAGCATCAGCTATTGATAGTAAATACACTTTTCCCTAGTGATTACTTTTCAGGCACCTGAATAACATAATCGTCATCTTCACCATTTTTTAACATAACTTTTTCGGTAGTGATCTTTTTCTACAGAAGAGAAATATATAATACATGCATAATTCAACTCACAGATACAAAAGAAAATGAAAACCTCAAGTTACAGGTGTAGATCACAAACTGCACAAGAAGAATAACAAAATGGAAGACAGATGACATGTCATTTAATCTGCAACCTGAAACACTATTCCCTAGTATTAACAAAAACTCAATCGTAGAATTTTCCAATCCATACCCAAAGTGCTAATGGGGAAACAATCCCCTTTACACTAATACAAAAATGCCTGATCTTCTATCAGCAGCATAAGAAGAAGATCAATCAATGAAAATCAAGGGATTTCATCAAAATAGCCTTGAAAACAACATTGGGAAAAAGCACTACCAACTAGTCCAATTGACTAGATGAATTCTCATGAGACTAAGATTCTTAAAGAGGGAGCTGATACAAAAAAGATTTAACATAGCCGAACAAATATAAAATATTTGCAACATTAATCTGTGAAAGTATCAGATACCTTTTAGTCCAATCCAGTGTACCAACAGAAACCTTTTCATTATCAATATATGCTACTGCACCGGATCCAGTTTCCTCCATGCACGTTCCCTCATCAACCTGGTAAGAAATGGTACATGTCTTTAAAAAAATTATTTTATTGCTAAGGCTGGTGACTTGAAAACTTGACAGCAGGACCAAACACTTCAGTAACTACAGATCAGAAGATATCATTAATATCTTGCATCCAGCATTGAAAAGAAAATAATTTATAATTTTCAGTATGATCTGCAATTAAGCTCCCACACTACAAGAGCCAAAATCTTTAACCATAAGATTGAAGTGCATCATAGAACCATAAAATCTCAACCAGCTATAGTTTGGTAAAGGGAATAGTGACCATTCTTATCTATCTACATATAATTCAAACTATCAACCATTTGATAAGCTCGAGAACAGTGCAGGTACATATTCAAGTTGAAGAAGAAAACAAAAATGGAAGTTCTAGAGCAGATACAGAAGCTGAAGTGTGAAATTTAGAGGTCAACTAGGAAGACGTTTACATTGAATGAATCTAATTTGTCTGTGAGACTGCTTGAGGAATTACATATTGAACTGCAGGCATTGCAAATAGAAAAGAGTGAGCGTCTAAAGAAACTAAGAAAGTACTGGACCCCCTTAATACTTTGCAATCATTGTGCTTGGTGCTTGGTTTAGATTTCAAACAAACTGTTGTTGAGGTTCATCCATGTTTAGGAGAGTCTAAAGGGTCAAAAGATATAAGTGACACTACCATTAAACACATGGTAGAAACGGTTACGCTGACAACATCATCCCGCTGCCTAATGTCATGGCCTTACTCTGGCCTTGATCGTCACCTATCTCAATTGTGCGCGACCCAACCGTCAAACCACACAACAAGGAGGTAGAGGAAGATCTAACCGAAATACATACATTTCAAATCTCAATTTGCTCATGCCAAGTGCAGACAGATAGCAACATTATAGCAGATGCCATGGAGAATAGAGGAAAAGCCCCCTTTCAAGTTCTTGCCTACTTGAAGCTCTTTCCCGTATGATTCCAATTTCTACCTTTAAGAAAGTTAGTCGTTTTCTAGTAAAAAATGCTCATAGAATGGCCAAGTATTCCTTAGTTACAGATTTGAATTTGTTCGAATTTACCTAATTGCAATATATGAGGGTAGTTTCAAATAAAAAAATTAAAAATCTGAATCTTCTTGATAAATACAAGTTTTACAATCAAATAGGCATTTGCTGTGTAGAAGCCTAAAACCAGGAGAAATACCTCCATTGGAAAATTCTTTTTAGTTGAACTAAGCTTTTCTAAAAGCTGCCTGCCTGCAGCACCCACAATCCTCCCCAAACGAGTTGCACCTAGACCGGAACCAGAATTGTCAAAGCTCTCCTGGTTGTTTTCGGGAAGTCCACCTGTGTTCAAAGCAAATGCTGTTCTCCAACTAGATCTACTTGCTTGAGGGCTTCCATTTCAGTTTTGATCAACCAATAACACAAGCCACAAATTAATACCAAAAATCCATTTACATAGGAGAATTTCAAGAGTAAAGACAGCATCTCAATTAAATTGACAAATGACCAGAAACAATAAACCCTGTTATCTTCTTGTCTATAGAGTCAAAACAGTTTGGCAAAGGAAGTTTTCAGCTCAAGTACTGCCAATTCCTAGTGATAAACAAAAAATGTATACACTCCCCACTTTAAGGATACACAGGTAAACCAGCAAGTTCTTAACAAATTTCTGGAAATCTGTGATATCCACAAAAATAGAAACAAGTTTGACCCAAGCATACTATAGTTCAGATTCTTTGAAAGAGACAATGTTAAGAGTGTTTGTCTTTAGGATATACGACCAGGAATAGATCATAGATCTGATATACCACAACAAATTTCATAACACACATCAGAACAAAACAAGAGTTCAAATATTTCACATACATTGTCTATGGCTTTCCTCACTGAGATGGACCTTTTTAAAACTCTGCATATCCTTAAATTCAAGCACAAAGTCACAGAAACATGTCATTTATTATACTTAGAAAATACTATGAGCGCCTTTATTTATTACTAAATTTACCAAAGTAAATCAAATTCAAAGCAGGCATCCCGGAAAACAGGTATAGAATCTCAAAAGCAGGTACATAGATAGTATATGGGCTGCTTTGGCTAGTGACCAGATATCCGGAAAACATATGTAAAGTTCGGCTCAAATTAAACAGTGCTTTCTGGCAAGTTTTTTCCACCTTAATATTAGTCTTGCAATATAGCTGTAACAATTTGTATTCCAAATCAGATCATTTATGTATCAAGTTCAGAATTCAACATTAGCCAGAGGTATTATCAATCAATTTGTCCACGTCAATGCTCGAAAAGATTTAAAAATGGTACCGACCACAAAACTAAGGGGGATTGAAACACTACCTCTTCATTCGCAAGAACTCGCACTTTGTGGCGGACATTGAAATTAGCCCACTTAAGTTGTGCTTGGAAGTCCAATCCTTGGATGCATTACAACTCTTGGATGCCAGGGGTCTTTCAAAGTAATCAGTTTCCTTGAAGGAAAGGCATCGAGGCATCACAATGTCCATATTAGCAGTCATAAACTGCATTACCAGAAACATAAATAGAACAAATCAGCCCTACCACATTGAAAAGTTTGGACAAACTAGAAGGTAAAAAAAAACATTCATACCGATGATGGCACCTACTTCAGTTCACAAGTCAATTGCTAACAGTAAGCACCCATTGCATCAGAATTCAGAACGAAAAGAAAAGTATCAACCTTCCGCCCTTCCAACTGAATTTCAACCACTGACCCTCCTCTGCCCTATAAAAATTACCACTGCAATAATAAGAAATACAAAAAAGAAATTGAACCCAAATAAATTGAAGTAGTTTCTCAAAGATCAGTGGAGAATGAATTCAGGTAAGCAGAATCCGTGAGTAGTTGAAGGTATACATCGAAATGTACAATTAGTTAAGCAAAAAACAAGAAACATTTTACAGATTTAAGCTTATAATTTCGCATACCTCACTGTAACTCGGAAATGGTAGATTTTTGACTTTTTGGTGGTTTTGGACAGTTAGAGATCAGTAAAATGGTTTTTACTGATCAGGAAGAGATCAGTACTTAGAGGCAACTGGGAAGTGGCAGACAACTTTTCCGAAAGTTAAGTAAAATGGTTTTTGATGTGTCAAGGGGCACAAATCCAGAGCTTTCACAGCAGCTGTATGGTTTTCGAGCCGATGAAGCCATTGTGTTGTGTCTGAATGACAACAAGATCTATCCCATATGTGAATCAGGTTGTAGTTTTGCAGACCAGAATCCGACCATTTTAGACCACAAACTTCTTGATGATGTCCTCTGCAAGTTCCAATCAAATGGTATCTCACTCTCACGTCATTGTTATTTATCATTCCATCCATTCCTTCAGTAGTCAAAATATATTTTATTAACACAAACATTATTATATATTTAATGAACAGAACACTCATGCATAGAATTCTGAAACCATTGAAAGAAAATCGACATCCAACGGGGTAAACTTAAACACAATGCACCTCAGCGATTAGGTGAAATGAGTCAAAGACTTTGGCAACAGTCAATACTTCGAGTTTGCACATAAGAAACTGAAAAGAACGGCACGTTTTTGCAACAAGGCCCAGATCTCCAAGATCCTGCAACAAATCATATTATGAGCCAAAAGAAAAAAAAAAATCAGTAAAAGCTACAAGATTCTATGTCCAACTGAAATAAGACATTCATGGACCAAGCTTCTTGTACTTGTGGAAGAATGGCAATGCTCAGTTCAAACAAGAAACACACAAAAATTTTAGTTCTCATAACAAACTTTACAAACCACTCTCCCATTATGTTTTGAAGTTAATTAAGGAATCAATTAACATATTAATAAGAGAGTTAAAAATCCAATTAATAGAGACAGAAAGAGCAAGAATATAATAATTTGCAAATGCCATGACAATAAGAAACCAGCTCAAAAAAGTGTTTTCAGAACAGCAGTAACATAGCTACATTCAAAAATCAAATAAGATCAAAATTCCAGATTCTAGATAGAGAAGGGAAACTTGTTGGTGTTTCAAAGGTCATGTTAAACCCGGGGCTGAAGCATTTAGATTGAATTAAATGCTAAACTTACAATTTTCCCCCAAATTATTACAAAGTTCAAAACACATTCAAGCAGTAGGAATCCGATCCAGAGATTCCATGGTCCAAGTTATTACAGCCACATAGGAAAGCAAGAAGCAATCCGGCTCTAAGATAGAGTTTCAGCTTCAACACACAATTTTCCCATAACTATTTTAACCTAAAACAATGACAGATAAAGAGGGCACCAACAGCAACGGGTTCCCCTCAACCAAAATCAAATCTTTTTTTTTTTAAAAAATAAGCATCAAATCTTTTTTCCATGACTGCTCATAAATTTAATGAAAAGTTAATTTAAGATTTCAGTAGCTAAATAAAAAGGATAAAAGCTTTCTACTCACAGTTCCATGGGTCAGTATCACAAAAAGCACACAATCCCGGGTCCTGCGTCGCCATTCTCCGGCCATCAATAATACAAATCAGGCTTCATCACCGGTCATGCCTTTTTCGCTGGTAGTTATTACAATACGAATCGATTCCATCTTCAAACTTCACCTTCCCGGCATCCACGACCACCTCGACATCCAACTGACCAAATCACTTCGGAAATATGAAGATATTTGGAACGGGAGGGAGGGGCTGGAAATTAAAAGCCATGAGAAAATTCGTCGCGGTAGCGTTGGATTTGGGGGAAGGGGGAAATAAATAACCCGACTGAAAAAACAACCCGATCAAAATGACCAAATCCGATCTCCCTCTTCCAAAAAAAAAAAAAAAAACAAATCCGACGCCAAAATGATCAAATAACCCCGAATAGGAAGGAGTCCTCTCCAGTAGTATTACCTTTTAGTGAAGGAGATCGGACTGAATATTTATGTATTTTTTGATTAGTTTAACTGATTTTTATTAAGTTATATAGAATAATTAAATACAAAATTAAATTAATTATGTTTGTTATTTAATATCTTAAAAAATTAAATGTATGCTTTATTTTAATTAATAAATTAGGCTTATTAATTAAATTAGTATATATTAATTAAATTACCAGAAAATTAAATTAATTAAGCGTGGTACTAGTTTGATCAGGTGAATGGCCAGAATTTGCTAAATATAGAACGGAAGTATTAAATTGCTGAAGTATAATACATTAATATGAAATTGACAATCTCTAATAAATTATGATGAAATGTAAAATATGGAATGAAAATCGAAAATCATTCTAAAGGTACTTAAAATAACAATACACGTTGACATTTTTTTAAAAAAAATTCACCCTAGTGGACCCCACTTAAATATGGGTAAACCCTCCCTTTACAACTGCTGGTGGGAATCGAACCCTGGTATATTACCAGGAAGGACAGGAACCTAATTATTAGGCTGTCATTCAATTCCCAACAATACACATTGACATTAAACATTTCACAATTTCAATTTATATTAGTAATATTTTGTTTATATATGTCGTTCCGTCATTATGTATAAAAATGTAGTACTCCCTCTGTTCAAAAAACATTGTCCACATTGAGTTTTGGGTTTTGTACTGTTTTTATTACAAATTTGCAAACTTAATGTGAACTATTTTTTTGGGACAAAAATAGTATCTTTTAGGAAAATCAAATAAAGAAATATTACCGAACTCGAACGAATTCGAACTGCTCGATTAGATAGATGAGTCGAACACGCGTATCACAATACTTGATTTGAGAACTCGTCGAGTCTATTCGAGCTTATTATAAATTATTTTATTTTTATTATGAATAATATATAATTCATGAAAACTTTTCTTTCTATTCTTTAAAAATTATTGTCCCTTATATTTTGAAAATATAATAATGGAATATACATATTTTTTATGATTTGTCGAAGAATTTTGCTCATAGAACACATAGATTGAACTTGTTGAATTGAAAATGATAAATACTAAAATTTATTCAACTCAATATTATCGAGCATTTGAGCTCAATTTTTATCGGACACAAAAAGTCGAAGTAATCGAGCCGAGCTCGAGCTATTCGTTTTTATTTCGACCTAAACTCAAACTTCAATTTAGATGTTCGACCGAGTTCGAACTCAAATACGAGCTTCATATTTTTTGTCGAACTCGAGCTCGAATACCTAACTGTTTGGACTTGACTCAGTTCGTTGAGAGCCCTAATTTGAAGGATTGAGGTTGAAATCCGTGAAGGAACACGGCTGGCTGCCCATTCCAACATTCTGCATCTGCATGTTTTATAATTTGACAAATTTGAAATTGCGTGGATGGAGAGGAAAAGGCAAATGCCGATTTAGGTTTTGGTGCTTAAAAGACGGGAGAAGCCTTTCACATTAAGCTTTTTCATTTTTTATTTTTTATTTTTTGGCTGGTATAAGTTCAGGGCTTTTCGTCATTTTCTGGCATTGACCAACTTTTTCACCCTGTTAAAGGGGAAAATTGTAATATCGCCAAAACTAGAGGGGCATTTAGTTAACGGGCCAAAACTCGGGGGGTAAATTGTAGTTCACCCTTAAGAAAATTGATAAGTTGATATGTGAAGACATTGAATCATCAGTCACCAAAATCTCTTAAAGCAGTAATAAACAGTAATGCATAAGCTCCACATCTTAATAAAAGGCAAAATTCTGGTATGTTTTAGAATCCATAGACTTTAAAAGAACTAGGGTGATAAGGGGACATTGTCAAAATGACTTGAGACAACTTCACTTCTTGGCCTCTGAAATCCTGGACCTCTTCTTTGCCAAGCTCTCGCTTCTTCTATCACGTTGCTCCTTCAACCTGGAGGCAAGAAGCTTCTGATACTCAGCAGCTTCAGTCTTAGCCTTGGCGATCCTCTTCTTCTTATCGGCAATTCTAGCTCTCTTCCTTTGAAGAGTCAAAGGAGTGACAAGCCTCTGAATCTTAGGGGCCTTGCTGACTTTCTTACCTGTTGGGAAAAAACATGGAATTAACCACCAACGGCGAGTCTGAATGAAAAGGCCATGAAACTTCCAAAACGTATGCAAATGGAGAAGGAAAAATGTAAGCACTATCTCACCATTTTTGGTGGTAAAGGTCCTGCGGTATGTGTTAACATACTTCGTAACATCATCTTGTTTGGTAAGGTTAAAGAGCTTCCTAATCTTTGAGGCCCTCTTTGGACCCCTCATCCTCGGTTTCTCGATGTCAGTGAGACCAGGCAGATCGGCATCACCTTTTTTCACTATGACCAAGTTAAGGACAGAGAGGTCGGGGCTAACAATACAACCACGAACAGACTTCCTTCTACGCTCTCCATTGCGCCTTCCATAGCCACGGAAACAAGGCGTGCCTGCAAATATTGGAACTCTTGTATTAACAAGACAATACTAAAGGAAAAGAAAATCCATTTGATCATAAAATGAAGTAATAACAACCAAATGAAAACAAAATCCATTTGATCATAAAATGAAGGATAGTCACCTCGGTGAAGAAGAAGGCGAACACGTCCAGGAGTCAACACACCCTGCTTCATGGGGAAACCCTGCTTATCACAGCCTCCCATGATCTTGAAGACATAACCCTTGAATTCCTGTCACAGGATCCATGTTTGTGTTAACAAAAAAAATTTCAACTCAAGAATACTCATTCAGGAAGAGATGAAAGCAAAAACATACGTCACCCAATTCATCCCCGCTCACTTCTTGAGAAATTCTCTTGTCATAGAAAGCACGGCTGAAATTTGAACAAGTTGTCAAGTTAGTTGGCAGATCAAGAGAAAAGTCCAGATATTTACAGGAAAAACTTAGAACAACTTGTCAAGTTAGTTTGCAGATCAGAGAAAAGTCCAGATATTTACAGGAAGCAAATAAAAGCGTTAGCAGAACCAATAGCTTCCAGAATTACAGGGCTGACAAAATATGTGATGGAATACAGTGATATCAGTTACTCACAAAGCTGAAAAGACAGGCAAAGAGAACACTAGAGCACTTTATTCCACAACCAAACCGACAGGTTCAAGTATAGATCTTCGGAAGATAACAGACCAAAAACACATGAAATTACTGAAGCATACATTTCCCACAAAATGATTCCAACAGTCAAAGCCAGTAGCAAATTAGAGTGAGCTGTCATAATCCTCTAAATCTATATCATTCTTCAAGTCATAGATATCCTTAAGCATCCTTTATACATATTAACCTTAACTTTATTCAAAGAACCAGAAAGAGCAAGCTAAATCCATAGATTGGAAGTATATCTATCAAAAACCGCCGATATCCAAACGCACTGTATCAACACGAATCCGACCAATAACCAAACACGTCCAATAAAATGGAATAAACAGACCATAAAAGAGACAGGAAACATTCCTAAGCTACAACCAATTGCTACCACAACAAAAGAGGAAAAATAAAAAGAAACAAAATCGATAATGAAGGAAAAAGAAAAGAAGGCGAAACGAAAAACCGTACAGTTTCTGGTCATCGTCGATTTCCAGCTTCTTCTGGCAACCGGTGGTCGGATTAGCGATGTTGAACTGCAAATTCCAAACGGAAGAAACAAAGAGCTCAGATGTTAGTTTAGGAACCAAAAGCCATAAATCAAAAACGTTGTTAGGATTCTCGGCTGTGAATGTGTGTGTGTGTGCGCGTAATAAGAGAGATAACGGCGGTGAGATTTCAAACCTTCATTGTGAAAGGGAGGCGCTTTGCTACGGTGCCGCTGCGGCTAGAGAAAAATGGCCTATTCAATTAACCCTTCTGATTAGGGTTTCTCGTGTTGGACTTTATATATCGGCAGGCAGTTGTCATGCCCCTGGACTCGATTGAAGGAATTAGAGACTTTAGGGACTACAATGTAGTTTTTGAAATTAGGTAGAATATCAGCAGGGGCTTGTAATAGTTTATCGAAATTATTATTCTGAATTGGAATTTTCCAATTTCTTCTCCCTCTTTCATTGTTCCCAAATCAGAACCCTACTTTCCCCATTCTCAGTCCATTTTCTCCGTTGCTATTTTTTTGCCACTCCCAAAAGGCCCCCGGTCGTGACCGCAGTTCTTTTTGCTTTTGGTTTTGAGTCAATTGCCGGACCCTTAAACTTCTCTGCTAAATTATTGGGCCGATCTGCTTTGATAAATGTTTTGGTCTGTAGCCCGTTCCATCATATTATTTGAGAACATGTGAGATTAGGGAATTTTGCAAGTTACGTTTTAACTTTTAAGCATCTCACATTGTTTTATTTTTTATTATTTAAAAAGCATTCTGTTCCAAAAATAATTTGCATAGAGTTTTGAGATTTATACTAGTTTTAGTATAAACTTGAAAGTTCATTATGAACTTTTTTTTTTTTTTGGACAGAGATAGTTTTAGTATAAACGTGCACTCACCAATCTCATTTGCAACATCAATTTCCCCAGACTGTTTATACACCCACTTTAAATTAAAACACATCATCAAGACCCACAGTTTCGGTTAGATTCACACCCAGACAGGGGAAATTACCTTCATCCAAGAAGGATTCACAGTCCTCCCAATAGTTGATCACCACGGTTTGCCCGATGAACTGTCCAAATCGAAACTCCAGCTGCTCCGTCAGTATTGCCCAATTGTATAATTGGGATACGACTTCTAGTCCATACAAGAATTGAAGAGCGTCACCGGCAATATAGAAAGATGCAATGAATATCTAACTTTCTGGTGGTGTCAAATTACGGGCAAAAAATTCTTTAATTCGGGTCAGCCAAACTGTAACCTTCACCTGAGAAAAGAGGAATTTCGGGCGATGAGGGTTCCGGTAATCCAAAGGGGACCAGATTTGGGGGAAAAACATATGATGACGGGAGAGATAAGAGGGCATCTACCCTAGGTACATCGAAATCGATAAATTCCATCGATTAAGAAAAACGTGACAGCAAAATCAAAGAAATGACGAGCAGAACAGATTGCGAAGAAATCAAACTCGGATGAGTTGTATTCAAGAAAAGGGTAGATGCAGAACGAATCCGAAAAGGCGAATTCGATGAAATTTAGAAGAAGATGGAGGAAGAAGAAGGATCAGAAACGAATCCACGGAAGAATTAATCCGAGGGAAGTGAGAAGAACTAAATCGATTCGGAGAAATCAAGTTCGAAGAATAATAATATAATGGAATTAAGCGGAAGAAATGGAAATTTGGAACCATGACTGCCAAGAATCGACAACTCTGGGATACCAAATGTAATGGTCCGACGAATTACCGATCAAAACGGAAGGATTAACGAGAATTACAGAAGAAATCAGGGAGGAAGCTAAGGTTCCAAAGAACATCCCAAAGGGGAAACACAAATTTCAACTCAATACATTTCTATTCGATAATCATATTTTCGTCCCGTAAGGACTATTTATAGTCTCTCAACTTACGGAATTACAAGTTGACCCCTCTATAATAAAATGGAGTTAATAAAGTCCCCGACTCATGACAACTGCCTATTGTATATAAAGTCAAGTCCTGTCTGGCACGAGAAACCCTAGTCAGAGGTTATTTGAAGAAGGGATTTCTTCTTTAGCAGTGTCTCTGCTTTCACCATGAAGGTTTGAAATCTCACCGCCGTTATCTCTCTTATTATGCACACACACACACATTCACAGCCGAGAATCCTAACAACGTTTTTTATTTATGGCTTTTGGTTCCTAAACTAGCATCTGAGCTCTGTGTTTCTTCCGCTCGGAATTTACAGTTCAACATCGCTAATCCGACCACCGGTTGTCAGAAGAAGTTGGAAATCGACGATGACGAGAAACTGTACAGTTTTTTTAATTCGCCTTCTTTCCTTTTGCCTTTCATTATCGATTTTTTTTTTCCCTTCTTTTGTGGTGGTAGCAATTGGTGTTATCTTAGGAATATATTCTTTCCCTTTTATGGTCTGTTATGCCATTTTAATAGACGTGTTTACTTATTGTTCGGGATTTGTAGTGATAATAGTGCGTTTGGATTTCAACTGTTTTTGATAGATATACTTTGAATCTAGGGGTTTAGCCTACTCTTGCTAGTTCTTTAAACAAATTTTAGGTTAATATTTCCAAAGGTACTTGAGGATATCTATGACATGAAGAATGATCTAACTTTGGAGAATTATAATGGCTCATTCTATTTTTCTACTATCTTTGACTGTTGGAATAATTTTGTGGGAAATGTATAGTAGTTTGCTTAGTACTTTTTTTTATGTTTGTTGGTCTGTTTTCTTCCCCGAGATCTATATTTGGCTCTTATTTTGAACTTTGAACATGTTAGTTTGGTTGTGGAATAAAGTGCTCTAGTGTTTTCTTTGCCTGGCTTTTCAGCTTTGTGAGTAACTAAAATCACTGTATTCCATCACATTTTTTGTCAGCCCTGTAATTCTAGAAGCTATTGGTTCTGCTAACGTTTTTATTTACTTCATGTAATTATCTAGACTTTTGACTTTTCATCTGCCTACTAACTGGACAACTTGTTCAAATTTCAGACGTGCTTTCTATGAAAAGAGAATTTCTCAAGAAGTGAGCGGAGATGAATTGGGTGACGTATGTTCTTGTTTTCATCTCTTCCTGGATGAGTATTCTTAAGTTGAAATATTTTTGTTAACACAAACATCGATCTTGTGATAGGAATTCAAGGGTTATGTCTTCAAGATCATGGGAGACTGTGATAAGCAGGGTTTCCCCATGAAGCAGGGGGTGTTGACTCCTAGACGTGTTCACCTTCTTCTTCACCGAGGTGACTATCCTTCATTTTATGATCAAATGGATTTTGTTTAAACCAGTCCTGAGTGATAAGAAAATCAATCATTCATGTAAAGAAGTTTCAACAGCTTATCAACTAAAAAGACCCGGTATGAATTTAGAAGATTAGTTGATTTTAGATGCCCTTCCGAGGGGATTTCATATGCACGCTGATGGGAATTATTGTGAGGCTACATTTGAATTTAATTGCCCCTCTATATGATATGATACAGTGCTAGCCGGGATTTTCTTTTTTTTTCTGGACTGGGTTGGGATTATTATGATGTTGTAGTTGATGTTCCGGATCGATACGATAGAAATTAACCCTTGCAGCTAAATGATGATGATGATGGTTCGTTGGATGTGCTTCTAGCTCATATTTTAGAGGTCTTAAAAAACTATCCAATTGTTGTGAACAATACTAGGATTTATCATTTGTTGGATTCCCTTTGTCACTTGGTGTCTACTGCCGCTAGTTCTCGAAATTTTTTGAAATGTTTAAGGATGACTCATGTGCACCTGCCGGATGGAAAAAATTCTCTGAGCGCAGTGGCGAACCACGTTGGGGCCTTAAGTCGGCTCAAGTACCCCCCTAGTCAGTCAAAGGAAGTCAAGAATTACCTCTGGCCAGGAGCCCTTGGTGGTTTCATAAATACTCTCAGACCCCTGGAAGAATAGATCTTGAATTTTAGGGAAACGTTTTAGAAAACTTTGAGGAACCAATCCTTCTGAATTATTTTAAAGTGATGCAAAAGGTTCTGACTAATGTGAACTCACTGGATTGTTTACTTTGGTTTGACGGTTGGCAAAGCGATTGCTGAACATTATCTCCTGTTAATATTTGTCTGATGATATGAGGTGTGCATAGCGAATACTTTTATTGCTCTTGTTAAAATTTATTGAGCTTTCAAGAGGGATGCAAGTGTGACTTCTCGTTGGGTACCTAAGGTTATCAAGAAGAAAAGTGGTCTAGGGGAATTAGAATAAGTTTATATGTGCTTGTTTGGACAACGATTTGTTTTAGTTTTTAATTTGGATTTGAGAGAAGATTTAAAAGGTAGTTTAGTTTTTTTATTTGGATAGTATTATAGTGACCATTTATAAAATTAAAATAGTTCAGTGACCAAAGTGAAGATTTTACAATAGTTTAGTGACCATCGCACTAATTTTTCCCTCATCACCTTCACCATCGGCCGCCACCGTTAGGCTGCCACCGCCGTTGGACCGCTGGCCGGTTGTTTGTTGGTGGTTTACAAAAATTATATAATTTTAAAAGGTAAGTTAAATTGATGTTTGGATAGTGTTTTATTTTGTATTGAGATTTGTGTTTAAGAGGTAAAATGAGCCAAAAGGCAAACGAAAAGGTTATCCATACAATGCCTATATCTTTTGATGACAGTTTTAACTATGTTATTAAATGTACTTGGAGACTTATCTAAAAAGTGGATCATTTGTTACCTTTTGTTATATTTGTAAGAACTATGCTATCTTTTGTTACTTGGAGAGTTTTAATTATGTTAAATTTTTCTTCTCCTCTTACACAAAACCGCTCGAGTTGGTTGTGCAACATAGTAGGGGTCAACTTGACATCCCAAATCGTTGCATGTTGGCGTACTTCCCATCGTCTACAAAGATGACAACTAGGTCGGACATGACAAATCCCCCTCTAAAAACGTCTTGTCCCTAAGACTGTTAATACAGAGTCGTTACTTAAAACATAGTAAACAGAAATGGCTTACAGAACAAACAACAACTTAGACAAGGACACGCCAGACAACAAAAAATAAAACATAGGAATTGAAGACTTGAAGAACCCCTCTGGAGAGTTGAAACAACTTCATTGGTGATTCTTCTTCGGAGCCCCAACCGTCAATAGTCCCAACCAAGCAACCTTCCAAATGAAGTTTGATTCTTTTAGTAATATCATACTCTTCCAAATCCCTATTTCCCACAATATGGTTCCTCCCCTAAAACCAGTTACAAATTCTTCCCAAGGTCTAAACACCCTACCCATTTTAGGACCTTGATCAGCCCCAAGTTGTTCAGTTACTTTCAAACCCTTTTGCGGTGGGGGAAACATGTCAACAGAATTCACAGGGCTAGCATCTAAAACTTTTGACAAAACATGTTCCTTGTCATCACAACTGTCAAGGAATGATTGTGCCGCCTCTAAAACAGGATACCAACAATTTATATGGTTGATCCATATTCATCATTCCAGCAAATGGTTTGAGTTCACATACAAACCAGTCGTCTAAGTCTAGTTTATACTCATAATGGCTTAGTGCCCTGAGAAAATCCCAACACTTAGCAAAATACCCTGATGCTATAATACTATTTATACATACTAATCCACCCGGATCAAATGTAACCAAGCAACAATCATTTGCATTCGAGGAAGAACTCACAAACAATTCTGAACCAACATCAGGATCAAATAGCAAACCAAGATTATACGTGCACTCACCAATCTCGTTTGCAACATCAATTTCCCCAGACTGTTTATACACCCCCTTTAAATTCACAGAGTATGCTTCAAAATGCTGAAATGAAGTTTCAATATCACAAGATTGCACAAATTCACCAACATGCTCAATTTCACAGACCATGTTACCCGAATTTAAAGAATCAACATCGAATTTCAAAAACACATCATCAAGACCCACAGTTTTGGTTAGATTCACAACCAAACAGGGGAAATTACCTTCATCCAAGAAGGATTCACAGTCCTCCCAATAGTTGATCACCACGGTTTGCCCGATGAACTGTCCAAATCGAAACTCCAGCTGCTCCATCAGTATTGCCCAATTGTACAACTGGGATACGACTTCCAATCCATACAAGAATTGAAGAGTGTCACCGGCAATCTATAAAGATGCAACAAATATCTTACTTTTTGGTGGTGTCAAAGTACGGGCAAAATTTTTTTTAATTCGAGTCAGCCAAACTGTAATCTTCATCTGAGAAAAGAGGAGTTTCGGACGATGAGGGTTCTGGTAATCGAAAGGGAACCGGATTTGGGGGAAAAACATATGATTCCGGGAGAGGTAAGAGGGCATCTACCCTAGGTACATCGAAATCGATAAATTCCATCGATTAAGAAAAACGTGACAACAAAATCAAGAAAATGATGAACAGAACCGATTGTGAAGAAATCGAACTCGAATTAGTTGAATTCAAGAAAAGGATAGAGGCAGAACGAATCCGAAAAGGCGAATTCGATGAAATTTAGAAGAAGATGGAGGAAGAAGAAGGATCAGAAACGAATCCACGGAAGAATGAATCCGAAGGAAGTGAGAAAAACTAAATCGATTCGGAGAAATCGAGTTCGAAGAATAATGAGATAATGGAATTAAGCGAATTATTGGAAATCTGGAACCATGAATGCCAAGAATCGACAACTCTGGGATACCAAATGTAATGGTCCGACGAATTACCGATCAAAACGGAAGGATTAATAGGAATTACAAAAGAAATCGGGGAGGAAGCTAAGGTTCCGACGAACACCCCAAAAGGGAAACACAAATTTCAACTTAATACATTTTTATTCGATAATCATATTTTCATCCCGTAAGGACTATTTATATTTTACAGTCTTTCAACTTACGGAATTACAAGTTGACCCCTCTACAATAAAATAGAGTCAATAAAGTCCCTGACTCATGACAACTGCCTACCGTGTATAAAGTCAAGTCCTGCCTGGTACAAGAAACCCTAGTCAGAGGTTATTTGAAGAAGGGATTTCTTCTCTAGCAGCGGCACCGAAGCGTCTCCACTTTCACCATGAAGGTTTGAAACCTCACTGCCGTTATCTCTCTTATTATGTACGCACACACACACACACACACATTCACAGCCGAGAATCCTAACAACATTTTTTTATTTATGGCTTTTGGTTCCTAAACTAACATCTGAGCTCTGTGTTTCTTCTGTTTGGAATTTGCAGTTCAACATCGCTAATCCGACCACCGCTTGTCAGAAGAAGTTGGAAATCGACGATTACCAGAAACTGTATGGTTTTTTTTAATTCGCCTTCTTTTCTTTTCCGTTTCATTATCGATTTGTTTTTTTCCCTTCTTTTGTGGTGGTAGCAATTGGTGTTATCTTAGGAATGTATTCTTTCCCATTTATGGTCCGTTATGCCATTTTAATGGACGTGTTTACTTATTGTTCGGAATTTGTGCTTATAATAGTGCGTTTGGACTTCAGCTATTTTTTATAGATATACTTTGAATCTAGGGGTTTAGCCTGCTCTTGGTGGTTCTTTAAATTAATTTTAGGGTAATACTTCCAAAGGGTACTTGAGGATATCTATGACATGAAGAATGATATAGCTTTGGAGAATTATAATGGCTCATTCTATTTTTCTAATAGCTTTGACTGTTGGAATCATTTTGTGGGAAATGTATAGTAGCTTACTTAGGACTTTTATGTTTGATGGTCTGTTTTCTTCCCCGAGATCTATATTTGGCTCTTATTTTGAACTTTGAACCTGTTGGTTTGGTTGTGGAATAAAGTGCTCTAGTGTTTTCTTTGCATGGCTTTTCAGCTTTGTGAGTAACTGAAATCACTGTATTCCATCACATTTTTTGTCAGCCCTGGAATTCTAGAAGCTATTGGTTCTGCTAACGTTTTTATTTGCTTCTTGTAATTATCTGGACTTTTGACTTTTGATCTACCTACTAACAGGACAACTTGTTCGAATTTCAGACGTACTTTTTATAAAACCGGAATTTCTCAGGAAGTGAGAGGGGATGAATTGGGTGACGTATGTTCTTGCTTTCATCTCTTTCTGGATGAGTATCCGTAAGTTGAAATATTTTTGTTAACACAAACATGGATCTTGTGACAGGAATTCAAGGGTTATGTCTTCAAGATCATGGGAGACTGTGATAAGCAGGGTTTCCCCATGAAGCAGGGTGTGTTGGCTCCTGGACGTGTTCGCCTTCTTCTTCACTGAGGTGACTATCCTTCATTTTATGATCAAATGGATTTTGTTTAAACCGGTCCAGAGTGACAAGAAAATTAATTATTCATGTAAAGAAGTTTCAACCACTTATCAACTAAAAAAAACCCGATATGAATTTAGAAGATCAGATGATTTTGGATGCCCTTTCGAGGGGATTTCATATGCACGCTGATGGGAATTCTTGCCATGCTACATTTGAATTTAATTGCCCATATATTTGATATGATACAGTGCCTAGTGTCGGGATTTTTTTTTTCTGGACAGGGGTGGGATTATTATGATGTTGTAGTTGATGTTCCGGATCGATACGATAGAAATTAACCCATGCAGCTAAATGATGATGATGATGGTTTGTTGAATGTGCATCTAGCCCATATTTTAGAGGTCTTAAAAAATCATCCAAATGTTGCGAACAATACTAAGATTCATCATTTGTTGGATTCCCTGTGTCACTTGGTGTCTACTGCCGCCAGTTCTCGAAATTATTTTTGAAATGTTTAAGGATGACTCATGTGCACATGCGGGATGGAAAGAATTCTCTGAGCGCAGTGGTGGAACTATGTTGGAGCCTATGTGGGCTCAAGCCCCTCTCCCCCAGTCAGCCAAAGGAAGTCAAGAATTACCTCTGGCCAAGAGCCCTTGGTGGTTTCATAAATACTCTTAGACCCCTGGAACAATAGATCTTGAATTTTAGGGAAACGTTTTAGAAAAAATTGAGGAACCAATCCTACTGAATTATTTTAAAGTGATGCAAAAGGTTCTGATTAATGTGAACTCATTGGATTGTCTACTTTGATTTGACGGTTGGCAAAGCGATGGCTGGACTTTATCTCCTGTTAATATTTATCTCCTGAACCAATCCTACCTATATTTCATAAGGCCATTTATTTTGGGTGTATTATGTATTTTCATTGACGTTGTACATCTCCATATATAATAATGTAGTAAAACAATTCAAACAAACCATTTAATCCCATTGTTGAAAAGCCCAGATTTAATAAATTATTATGAAAAAAGCTTTTCGAAATAGTTCTTGTACTATGCGAGAATTTTGACTAACTTAAAATATTATTCATATTTTAACATCTAAAAAAAATAAAATTCGGATTTTTTGCATTTTGTTGCATATTTTGTGGACAAGTTGTTAATTGACTACCAGATATAAGCCTGCATAAAATTTTTCCAGGTAACCACATATCCAACGTAACCTACCCATTATGCAACATACAAAATTACCAAAGTCTTAATCCCAAAAACTCATTGACTCCTTTACATTAGTGGAGTAAGCCACCTACTCACGTACAAAACGAATAACTTCAACAATGTCAACCATATTGATGATTTACCCGAAGGTATCTTTCATGAGATTTTGAAAAAGCTTGATGCGGCGAACATCCCTGTGTGCTGAAGTGTCAAGTCTTCGTGGAATTCAACAATCTTGGATCCATCTTTTGTTTCAACTTTGCGAAGGAGTCACATGGAGATGTCACGTACAAATATCATGATGGTGTGCCAATCAACCAATCCAACAACGGAACCAAACATGATGACATTCAATTCATTCAATCTGAGTAATCAAGACTCCAAGGAGCTCTGCACGAGTTACAATAGATCCCTTGGTTGGGAAAGTGCACATAAGGTTTTGCCTATTACTTCTGATCTCATATGTGTAAAATTCCTTACTTATCTATCCATACTGAACCCGACTAATGGACAATTTTTTGTTTACTTTGACAGAGCTTATCTACTCTACAAGAGCATTTATTATTCAGTTATTTTCATTCTACAATAGTGTTCTTGCTCTTCTGGAACACACATATAATGTTATTGAGATAATCGTACTCTACATGAGCATTTTCATTCTACCATAGTGTTCTTGTTGTTTTAAAAGCTAAGTGTATCGCTGCTCTGCTGGAGGCAACACTTCAAACTCAAAATCATTGAGTTGGTACGATAATTTATACCATTTTTTGATACCTTGTGAATATAGTGTATCGATCTCAATGCACTTTTTCCTTCCAACATTCTCTTGCCCTTTTGTGAGCAAGGTCATTTACAGTTATTCTTCCAAAACTAATGATGAATTCACAATATTTGCTCTTCAAAAGCATTTATTTATTTTTACTCTCTAGATTAATTATACTCTATGAAAGTTTTCATCTATCTTTACAAAATATTCAGTGGCATATACCAGAGCATTTAATTGATTTCGTGTTTATCATTGACTAGCATCACCTACAGGGCGATTAATGAAATCTACAATACCCAGATAGGTAATATGAGTTGCACTAGGTGCCAGACATACTTTTGCAAGAAACAAATTTAGATCTTATTTTTTTCGAAGCATGTAGATTGAAAATGTCAATTAAATAGTATCATTACAATGGTGGCCAAAAGACCACAACAATTTCAGGGTGTTTGACATATTGGATATTTTCATCTCTAAATTAAATTTCACATCACCATCAGGATGTCTGACAAAAAAATCGGCAATATCTAAAATAGTGAAGCCGTTGTTAACGAGACCATGGTCAACATCATCAACATTGTTATAAATTAAATTTGTCTCTATTTTCGTTTCTTCTTTTTTCATCGATTGCTAATAGAGATCTGTAAGATGTTTTGGCGCATGACATTCAC